AGAAACTCTGTGAGCAGAAGCTCTGCACATGCTCCTTGTGCATTGTGACTTCCCTCGTCTTCCCATGCCCCCCTGAAATTGACTTGGGGAACCCCCAAAACAGCATATAGGGAGAGGGAAGATGGTTCCATCTGACAGGCTAATACATTTGTACTGATTGAACATTTGCAGTAGTGTAACACTGAAGTCCAACCCTTGTGTTTCATTATTACAGATAGTAACCATATCTACATTTGCCGCTATGCACATATAAAATTTACCATGCTTTTTTTAAAAAATACAAATCTGTATCCTCTGTTGTCTTTTTTTGGGGTGACACATTTCCACTTTTTTTAGTGATATGTAAGTGGCTACTCACACAGGTGGCGCTGTGGTCTAAACCACTGAGCCTTCTAGGGTTGCCGATCAGAAGGTCGGCAGTTCGAATCCCCGCAACGGGGTGAGCTCCCATTGTTCTGTCCCTGCTCCTGCTAACCTAGCAGTTCAAAAGCACATCAAAGTGCAAGTAGATAAATAGGTACTGCTCCAGCGGGAAGGTAAACGGCGTTTCCGTGCGCTGCTCTGCAGGGCCATCTTAAGTATATCCAGTGCCGTGGTGCAAAGATCCCTCCGCCCTCCGTTTCGTAGAGCTGCCAACCTTTTAACGGTGCTGCCAGCAGCTTTGCGGGGCTGTAGGAGGCAGGCAGAGGCTGGAGGGCAGCTCCTCCGGTGGGGAAGAGGCAGAAAAACTCTCTGCGGACAAACACCGGCTCCCTCGGCCTGTAAAGCGAGATGAGTGCCTCAAACCCCGAGTTGTCCGCAACTGAACTTAACTGTCAGGGGTCCTTTACCTAAGTGGCTACTCAATGGGTTTGCATAGCTTAACTGAGGGCAGAACTACACCATACACTTAAAGCCCGACTTATCTAGGAAGCCCACAAGGGAGCAATAGCGCACGCCCCAGCTAGTGGTATTTAGAGGTGTGCTGTCTCGACCGTGGAGGCCGAACAGCCATGGTGTGGCTCGTAGCCATGTTGGTAGCTGGCTCCTCTGCAAACCTGCCTTTAATCCGATTTTAAAGCTATCTGGGTTGGTGGCCATCCCTGCCTCTTGCTGGAGCCAATTCAAATAACAATTAACAATGGTAATAATTTATTTGTACCCCACCCATCTGACTGGGTTGCCCCAGCCACTCTGGGGGGCTTCTAACATATATGAAAACATAAGAAAACATTACACATTAAAAGGCTTCCCTATATGGGGCTGCCTATAGATGTCTTCTGGGACATGGGTGGTGCTGTGGGTTAAACCACAGAGCCTAGGACTTGCCGATCAGAAGGTCGGCAGTTCGAATCCCTGTGACGGGGTGAGCTCCTGTTGCTCGGTCCCTGCTCCTGCCAACCTAGCAGTTCGAAAGCACGCCAGTGCAAGTAGATAAATAGGTACCGCTCCAGCGGGAAGGTAAATGGCGTTTCCGTGCGCTGCTCTGGTTCACCAGAAGTGGCTTAGTCATGCTGGCCACATGACCCGGACTCCCTTGGCCAGTAAAGCGAGATGAGCGCCGCAACCCCAGAGTCGGCCACGACTGGACCTAATGGTCAGGGGTCCCTTTACCTTTATAGATGTCTTCTAAAAAAGGCATAGGCAAACGTGGCCTTCCAGATCTTTTGGGACTATAACTCCCATCATCCCTGACCACGGGTCTTGTTACCTAGGGATGATGGGAGTTGTAGTCCCAAAACAACTGGAGGGCCGAGTTTGCCTATGCCTGTTCTCATCTTGTTGACATCTGTATTCATCTTGTTGACATCTGCGTTCCACAGGGTGAATTTCTTTTGCCTGCCCTGAGTCTTATTTACTTATTAAGTTTATACACTGCCCTTCCTCCAAAGATCAAGAAGCGGTTCTGGGACTCTTTTTCAAGAGGCTTTCCTTTTCTTTTCTCACGATCCACTTTCTCCACACCCCATGATTAATTTTATGCTCCTCTTATCGTGTCTCCTCTTTCTAGCTTTCCCCACTTTCCCCTTTCCCCCCCTAAACTAAGCCCTCCCCCGCGAAGTCATAACTTTGTTTCCCCGCCCCCCTTTCCCCTTCATCTTTCCCTAGGCCCTTTTTGCATCCAGCTTTGCAAGATCTTTTCTGAGGCACCTTTTTGTGCACTCGGCTTCAAGAGCTCCTTCCTTCCATCTGAGCCCTGTATTCGAAACAGGACATGTGCTTTCCTTCCCAGGGAGACACAGAAAATCCATAGACTTATGAACAAACCCAGCTGGAAGAATGCATTGTCGCTGTGCTACCAGGAACTTCCGGGACACGGATTGGACCATGTGTGCATCGTCAAAGCGCAAGAGGTTTCACCACTGATAGGATAAGGGCTTGGAGCATCCCCCACCATAGGTGCAACCCCCCCCGGGGCTGTGTGTGCACGAGCACCCACAAAATTCCGATGAAGGGACTGGGCACCCATAAATTTCAGTGCCAGGGCCATTTACGCTGTATGGCACCAGGACCGGATTTAGGTTTGACGAGGCCCTAAGCTACTGAAGATAATGGGGCCCTTTATATGTCCAGCTGTTCTTTGTCAACAACAAATTGTGGCTGTTTTTTGTGTGTGTTGAATATATGCTATATGGTAATTTATGGACCTAATAGGTATCTAAAGCCATTTGCAACCAGTCCGTGCAGAAAGTAGGCACCCTATAGTGTATATAGAAATGAGCAAACCAGTGATATTTAGGGAGCAGGCTATCAGACGGGGCCCATTACTTACATCATATGAGCCTACACAACACAAAACACTGTTGCTGTATGTAGGTTTCATTTTATTTGTTTTTATCTTATATTTTGGAAATGTACATCCAGTGTGTTTTTTCCTTTTAATTTTTTGGGGGGCCCCCAAGTGGGGCCCTAAGCTATAGCTTCTTTAGCTTATATGTAAATCTGGCACTGCCGCTGGGAGAGATCATCAGGGGGTTTGGACTGGGTGTTCATCAGTATGTGGATGATACCCAGCTCTACCTCTCTTTCAAATCAGAACCAGTGAAGGCGGTGAAGGTCCTGTGTGAGTGCCTGGAGGCGGTTGGAGGATGGATGGCGGCTAACAGATTGAGATTGAATCCTGAAAAGACAGAAGTACTGTTTTGGGGGGACAGGAGACGGGCAGGTGTGGAGAACTCCCTGGTCCTCAGTGGGGTAACTGTGCCCTGAAGGACCAGGTGCGCAGCCTGGGAGTAATTTTGGACTCACAGCTGTCCATGGAGGCAGAGGTCAATTCTGTGTCCAGGGCAGCTGTCTACCAGCTCCATCTGGTATGCAGGCTGAGACCCTACCTGCCCACAGACTGTCTCACCGGAGTGGTGCATGCTCTAGTTATCTCTTGCTTGGACTACTGCAATGCGCTCTATGTGGGGCTACTCCAGAATGTGGCAGCTAGACTGGTGACTGGGAGCGGCTGCCGAGAACACATAACACCGGTCTTGAAGGACCTACATTGGTTCCCGGTACGTTTCCGGGCACAATTTAAAGTGTTGGTGCTGACCTTTAAACTAAGCCCCAAATGGCCTCAGTCCAATATACCTGAAGGAGCATCTCCACCCCCATCGTTCGGCCCGACACTGAGGTCCAGCGCAGAGGGCCTTCTGGCGGTTCCCTTGCTGAGAGAAGTCAAGTTACAGGGAAGCAGGCAGAGGGCCTTCTCAGTAGTGGCACCCTCCCACCAGCTGTCGAAGAGAAAAACAACTACCAGACTTTTAGAAGACATCTGAAGGCAGCCTGTTTAGGGAAGCTTTTAATGTTTAACAAACTATTGTATTTTAATATTTTGTTGGAAGCCACCCAGAGTGGCTGGGGAAACCCAGCCAGATGGGAGGGGTATAAATAATAATAAATTATTATTGTTGTTGTTATTACTACATGGCACCTACGGCCCCTGGCCCCCACAGTCCCCCCCACAAGCTGGCACTCCTGTGCCTCACCTATACCTTGCGACCTCAAAGCTGGCTTTTTAATTTAATTTAATTTATTTTTTTTTAAAGCAATTATTAATTTTGCATATAGTTTAAGAAAAAAATAAAACGCAACAGGAGAGAAATGATGAACCGCATTTTGGTGGGCATCGGATAGGAACAATGTTGGTGGAAGGCTGTCGTAGGCTTCGCAGAAGGGATGCAATAATAGGAGAGGAGCTGGAAATGAGCGCGGAGGGGGATGCATTAAAAAATATCAGAGCAATTCTGAAAAAATCATGCCTTTGCCCCGTTTGCCATATGTTTGCCGAGGATGCTGCCCAGGGCAGTTGCTCCCTGCTCCTGTCGATAGCGGGAAAAGTGGCTGCACTGGATTCCTCGACCCTGAAAATCAGAGAATCGGGTGCTCTGGCAGGAATTGCGGCAGCTTGCATCACCGCTCGGAGGTGTTTGTTTTTAAAGCAGTTTTTTAGCTGCTTTGTGCAAATAAAAGAAAAATAAATAAGTAAATACATCAATAAAAATTCAATAATTCCTTTTTCTTTTTCTTTAAAAAGTATAAAGGTAGAGGTAATCAACATTAGAAACAACAATTTAGAAAGAGTAAATTTTTGAGGTCTTAGAACAAAGGAAGGAAGGCAATATGTGTACATGTATGTAATGACTAGATTAGAATGAAGATATGGTTTCATTTGTAGATGTGTGTGTGGTTTTTTTTCTTTTTTGTGTTTTGCTTTTCTTTCTTGTTTTTATAGTTTTATTTTGGATTCAATGTTTGTAATTTTTGTTGTAATTTTGCATTGAAATATATGTGTGTGTGTGTGTGTGTGTGTGTGTGTGTGTGTGTGTGTGTACACACACACACACAATAATTATCTCTTCAGACGGGCCTAAAAAATCTTCTGGCTGACTCGTGCCATTCCAGAGGCGGCTTCTCCTTTTGAATGGAGTCTGAGTAGCTGCGCATGCGTGTCACTCTTCTCTTTTCCTATCTCTATGGGGTGGGAAGGCGGGGCTTGGACTTCCTTTCACCGCCTTCCTTTTGCGACAGCTGCCGGAAGTGAGCGCCGGAAGTTCTCCGCGCAGATTCCAGGTGGGCGCCGAGGGTGAGAGTTCTTCGTGGGTACGGAAGGGAGCGAGTGGCGGGGACGGGACACGGGCGAGGCAGGGGAGGGGAGGGGAGCGAGGGGCATGGAGGCTTAAGGCTTAGACCTGCTTGGCACGGACACGTGTGCGCGCACGTGTGAAGGCGTGCACGCAACATCATGCAGGGCAGCAGCACGTGTAATCGCCCTTGATTGTTCCTGCTACCCCCTTTGAAAACCACTGCTATATGCTGTATTGTTAGCATTATGTTCAGTCTACCAGGCCGCAGTATAGTGCCCGACAAGCAGACAGGACTGTGCAACACAGACTTCCATCCTGCCCAGTAGTGGCTGCTGCCAGCCAGGGTTCAGCAAACTTTTTCAGCAGGGGGCCGGTCCACTGTCCCTCAGACCTTGTGGGGGGCCAGACTGTATTTTGAAGGGGGAAAAGATGAATGAATTGCTATGCCCCACAAATAACCCAGAGATGCATTTTAAATAAAAGGGCACATTCTACTCATTTAAAAACATGCTGATTCCTGGACAGTCTGCGGGCTGGATCTAAAAGGCCATTGGGCCACAGCTGGCTCCTGGGCCTTAGTTTGCCTACCCATGGCTTATGGGATAAGGAGCAGTATAAATGTCAAGTGACAATAAATGTCATGGACTGAGACACTGAGGGATCCCCATGGGTGGCAGTGAGGGTCTGGGTGTTAACAAGAGGCATTCTCTCCCTTGCAGATTCCAGAGTGTTGTTATTTTTTGAAATGTCTCTTCTCCTTGCAGGAAGAAAGCAACCTCCCAGCGCAACATTCCCTTCTTTCCCCGACGCCATCCAGTATAAAAATAATAGTAATAATAATAATAGCAGTAAGATCAACGCTTGGATGGCTGATCAAGGTGTAGAGAAGTGTCAGGAGACACCAAGAGCTGAAGACCTGGTAATGGACATTGAAGAGGAAGAGGCAGCGACTGACCAGAAGGAAGAAGGAAGTGAGGTTCAGTTGGATCTCTCCACTGAAGATGGTGCCAAAAAAGTTGTGCCAGGCATAATTTACCTTGGTCACATCCCTCCTCGCTTCCGGCCACGTCATGTCCGTAACTTGCTTAGTGTGCATGGTGAAGTAGGACGTATTTTCCTGCAGCCTGAAGGTGAGCCTTCTTGGTGTGTATTGGGGAGCAGTGGGCAGGGGTGGGTGGGTCTGCCAGTCAGCTGAACAGTGTCAGGCAGAATAAACGCCATGGTGAAAGGCTACAAAGCAAAATACCATGCTGGATACAGTTGCCTTAGAACCGGTGTCAGCATCTGGTATGGGGAGCGTATGAAAGACGTGGAGATTAGTGTAGAGAAGCTGATTTCAGAGTCTTATTTGATTTATGATCTGTATGCCACCTTAATTGAAGCGTTGTGCAATTCTTACATTTTCAAAGGATGTGAAAAAACTACAGTTGAGTGAGAAATCTAGAAGCCAGTGGATGTGTGGACCGAGGTTGCATTTAAAACTAGGCCGTTGTCACATTCTGCACAAACCTGTAACCCTCCTCTCTGTGTCCTGCAGAGCGATTTATACGAAAGAAAAAGAAGAAAGCAGGTAGCAATGCCAAGAACTTCACTGAAGGCTGGGTAGAATTCAGGGATAAACGTGTGGCAAAGGTGGTAGCTGCCAGTTTGCACAATACGCCCATGGGTGTCCGCAAGAGGAGCCGATTCCATTATGACCTCTGGAATATGAAGGTAAGTGGGTGCTGAGGGCTGCGCCAGTAAATAAGGATTACTCCCTTCGCATCTAGTTGATCTTGTGACTTAAAACTCTCCGTTGAAGGAATGAGGTGTAAAGTGGCCAATAATAATAATAATAATTTTTATTTATACCCCGCCCTCCCCAGCCAAGACTGGGCTCAGGGCGGCTAACAACCAATAATAAAAACAAGTTGATTAAAATACAACTTAAAAAACAAGATTAAGATACAACATTAAAACATTAAAATGCAGCCTCTTCACAGGAGAAGAAAGGAAAAAAGAAAGAGGGGGAGGGAATCAAATTGATTCTAAGCCAAAGGCCAGGCAGAACAACTCTGTCTTACAGGCCCTGCGGAAAGAAATCAGATCTCGCAGGGCCCTGGTCTCATGAGGCAGAGCGTTCCACCAGGCCGGAGCCAGTGTTGAGAAGGCCCTGGCTCTGGTTGAGGCTAATCTGACTTCCTTAGGGCTTGGGACCTCTAGGGTGTTGCTATTTATGGGCCTTAAGGTCCTCCGTGGAGCATACCGAGAGAGGCGGTCCCGTAGGTACAAGGGTCCTAGGCCGTGAAGGGCTTTAAAGGTCAAAACCAGCACCTTAAATCTGACACTGTACTCCACCTTTCTGAAGGTACCGGACTGAATGAAGGAAGTCATGAATTTGCAAAAGCCTCTCTCACATCCATCTATTCATTAATGTGGTGCAAAACAGCTTTACAAAACTATGCTTGGATGTTCTTGCTCCCAAAGCCCAGGGAGCTGGGGTGGGGGGAACAGGGATGGTCAAGTCCAGAGATGACCCTCAAAGTAATATTTCACTTCCAAGGAGAAGAAACAATGAATCCATATGGGTATCTTTTCATATGTGAACGGCGTTGCATTGGCAAATCAGCTACATTCTGGAATAGCAATGGGCTGCTGCGAAATGTGGGTCATGAGGGGATCCTTTTTGGGGAGTACAGTCATTTCTCTGTTCCCATTCCAGCTCCTTTTGATGATGTCAGATCATCCCTGTACAGTGGTGCCCCGCAAGACGAATGCCTCGCAAGACGAAAAACTCGCTAGACGAAAGAGTTTTCCGTTTTTTGAGTCGTTCCGCAAGACGAATTTCCCTATGGGCTTGCTTCGCAAGACGAAACGTCTTGCGAGTTCTTGCGAGTTTGTTTCCTTTTTCTTAAAGCCGCTAAGCCGTTAATAGCCGCTAAGCCGTTAATAGCCGTGCTTTGCAAGATGAAAAAACCGCAAGACGAAGAGACTCGCGGAACGGATTAATTTCGTCTTGCGAGGCACCACTGTACAAGTTCTCCATATCACTAAAATGTTTAATGCTGCATGATTATGGAGACTAACCCACTGAGCAGGGGTCCCCGGACTAATGTCTGGAGAACAGAGGTGCTTCTTGAACATTCAGACGTTCGCCATTCCTGGTTGCACGATTGTCAAATCTTTTAAGCCTACGTTTTTAATATAGTGGTATCTCGGGTTACATACGCTTCAGGTTACAGACTCTGCTAACCAAGAAATATTACCTCGGGTTAAGAACTTTGCTTCAGGATGAGAACAGAAATTGTGCAGCGGCAGCAGGAGGCCCCATTAGCTAAAGTGGTGCTTCAGGTTAAGAACAGACATCCAGAACAAATTATGTTCTTAACCCGAGGTACCACTGTAATGGGAAGGAAAAGAGACCCCAGGACTCTATGCACAGTATAAAGAATCACTCTTAGAAAGTGTTAAGAAGATGTTGTACCTCTGCTGTTGGAGGCGGCACGCCTTTAAATGCCCATTGCTGGGAGTGGCCTGTGGAGGACGTCCCTCTTGCAGGCTTCCCATAGGGGCATCTGGTTGGCCACAGTTAGAAGCAGAGTGCTGGACTCGGGCCTTTGGCCTGATCCTGCAGGGCTTAAGTTTCCTTGTCTTTTGTCCCCAGTATCTGCACCGCTTCAAGTGGACTCACCTGAGCGAGCGACTGGCCTATGAGCGTCAGGTGCGGCAGCAGCGCATGCGGGCCGAAGTTTCACTGGCCAAGCGCGAGACTAATTTCTACCTGCAGAATGTAGAGAAGAGCAAGCGCTTTTCAGAAAAGGGCAATCGGGGAGGACAGGAGGAGAAGAGCTGGGGCTTTGTCCAGCGCCAGACTGAGGAGGAAATCCAGACCAGCAAAGGGAACAAGCGCCTGAAGAAGCAGTTGGCCCGGGCTGCTGAGATCCAGCAGAAATCCCAATCAAACAGCTCTCTCCTATCCAAGATCTTCAATATCCAACAGTAGCGCTTGTCCTCTGGAATGTCAGATTTGCTGCTGACCCTGGTTTAGCTGCTGCCTGCTGGGTTTTTATAAGCCAAGCAGACTCAGTCTACTCTTGAACCTACCAAAGCAGGCAGGGGAAGTTCATTCTTTGTTGTCAGGTGCACGGCACATTTTATACATATGCTGTGGTTGTAAAACTTGTTGATCTTTCTGCTGTGCGGAGCCTCTTTTTAGAGAGCTGTCTAGCTTTGCCTGAGCAGCATTAAAGCTTTCCCCTGTGGGGATTTGGCAAAGGCTTGCTCTTTTGGTTGTTCTCTTGGTGGCTGAGATTGGCGCTGGCCGTCCCACCTTGCCCAGTCCTGAATCAAATTCAGAAGTTGATCCAGCGGAAGAGTGTGCTGTTCTAGATCGGATGCTGCTGCGGGGGAGGGGAGCTGAAACTAGCTGGAATCCAGTTGCTAATAGGAACCTTGATCTTCATTTAGAAATTGGGGGGGGGGGGGAGGGAGGAACAGACCAAGCACTGCCTTTGTGGACATTTCAGTTCTCTGCCGCTGATCATCCAAGGTACTTTGGAATGAGATGCGCCAAATGGGGATTCTAAGTGTTTTGGTGACATTAAGGTGATAATACTGTTAAGTCAACATGCAGCTGATATTTGAAACAAACATCAGGGGCTAGAACAGCAATAATCACACAGACTCCATGAAAATGTTATTTTTCCAAAAAGTGTTGAATTGGGTTTGGGATTGATCATTTTCATATATTGTCCAAAAAATGTGGGCTGTTACTACTGGAATTTTTCAATTTTTTTATTGTTTTTATTTTGCATTTCACAATGTTTCAACAATAGAAATTAAGCCTAAGCAGACTCCACCTACACTAGGAATTATTTCCATTTTTAATGTGTGTGTGTGTGAGAGAGAGAGAGAGAGAAGGCAGGTAACAACTGGTAAATAAAAAAATCATTTTGAAGCACTGGTTATGTCTGTTCTTCAACCACAGTGTGTGGACATCAAATGGGAAGTGTTCTAAAGTAGTATCTGATTCCCAGTTTAGGTAAAAGAACAGTTGGATTATTGTAGCTCTGGTTTGAAACGCTCAGCATTTCTTTGGTAAGCCATACGCTATATGTTACATACAGCTTCATTATGCAGGAAAAGCTTGAAACAGAATAGTGTTTTGTGGGTCCACAATCTCAGTTGTGGAGTTGGAATTGTGTCTGGTACTTGGAGCCCAGAAATCCTGATGAAAGCTTCTACGTTTCCATCCAAATGTCTTTTCTCTGCTGGGATATGATTGATGTGTTTTAGTTCTGCAATGTGGCTTCTGAATCTTACCTCCAGAGGAGGGAGACATGGGAAGGCATAGAAACAAGCTGATATAACAATTAACATTGAGTTTACATATGAAGTGAGATTCATTCTCGGCCTCTTCTGCCTCCAAGTGAAAGATGGAAAGGTTCCTGCTGTATTGATGTGAGAAGGCAGACATAAAAATAAAAGCAATTTGATAAGCTCTGAAAGACTTTGAGAATTCCTCCTCCCCTCACCCCACCCTTTTCCTTCAAATCTGACCTATTTGTATCCCCTTCATGTTGTCCTAAATTAATGATTTAACCTCTCTTTATCGCCAATCAGGATTCAGGCCCCATCACGGGACTGAAACTGCCTTGGTTGCACTGGTTGATGATCTCCGGCAGGCTATGGAAAGAGGTGAAACCTGCCTCCTGGTCCTGCTGGATTTCTCAGTAGCCTTTGATACAGACCATGGTATGCTTCTGGACCATCTAGGAGTTGGGAGCTGGGGACATAGTTCTTATCCCTCCTAGGCTATGTCCAGAAAGTGGTGTTGGAGGTGGGACAAGTGTTCAGACTTCTGGGAAGTCACTTGTGGGGTGCCTCAGGGCTCCGTCCTCTCCCTCCCACGCCGTTTTTTTAAACATCTATAGGAAGCCTCTGGGACAGGTCATCAGGGGCTTTGGGATAAGTGTTCACCAATATGTGGATGATACCCAGCTCTACCTCTTCTTAAACTGGAACCAGTAAAGGTGGTGAACGTCCTGTGTGTCTGGAGGTGGTTGGAAGATGGGTGGTGGTTAATGGATTGAGGTTGAGTCCTGACAAGACAGAAGTATTGTTTTTTTGGGGGGGGGGCAGATGTGAGGAATCCCTGGTCCTGAATGGGGTAACTGTGCCCCAGAAAGACCAAGTGCGCAGCCTGGGAGTCATTTTGGACTCCATGGCGGTACAAGTCAATTCTGTGTCCAGTGTGGCTGTCTCCCAGCTCCATTTTTAGTATGCCAGCTGAGACCCTATTTATCTCAAAGTGGTTTACAAAAAGATAAAAAGAACATAGAGAAGATTTGCTGCATTTCTATTTTGCCCAGACAAATAGAAAGGCTTGTGGTTGGTTTGCATCACAGAATTGTAGTTGGCACTGGGGGTCATCTATTCTAGCCCAACCCCCTACAACAAAGATTTCCAAACTCTGTGCTGCAACACATCAGTGTTGGCTGCAGTTTGTAGGTGTGCCGTGCAAACACTCCCCACTCTCCTCCAAGGGCTGGAAAAGGGTTAGTTTAACCTCTGGTTTGCTAGTAAAGCTAAATTACTGTGTTGCCAAATGATGCATGTCTAAAAAGTGTGCTGCCAACATGAAAAGTTTGGAAAGCTGCCCTACAATGTAGAAATCTCTACACACAGTCCCCCATCCAATTTGAAACTGTACTGGGCCTTGCTTAGCTTTGCAAATGTGTTAGCAGTTTTATAGCTGCACCACTAGGCATCATCATCTTCATATATATATTTTTTAATTCTATTTCTTATCTGCCCTTGACCACAAAGCCCCAGGTTGGGTTACAGCAATTTAAAAATACTGTATTAAAACAGAATAGTCAAAAGAACAGGGTGAATCCTAAAACATGTCTCGGGGGTCAAATACCATGTAGAGACGCATCTTCACCAACTCCAAAGCAAACTCTTAACAGCCTCTCACTGAGGCTGTTTTGTGGGCCAGAACCTCATTGCAGCACGCAGAGGCCAACATGCTGTGGGATGTTTCATGAGCATTTCCTTTGCATCCAAAAGGCGGCTTTGGGGACAAAGATGTGCTTTTGGCTGCATTGCAATGGCAAGGGATTAAACAAAAGGGGGAGGCAGAGTATGCACAACCTCTATACCAGAGGCAGGGACTCTTTTCAAGACGGAGGGCCACATTCTCTCTTGGGCAACCTCCTTGGGGCCAAATGCTGGTGGTGGGCAGATTAACAAAACTGGCTTTTATTTTTGTGTATCAAGCTGCATTCCAGCCAGGTGAATGGGCTCAGGGGAGGCAGCAGCAGGGAACGTGCGCTGCAGACTCCCCAGAGGGCATTGGTAGAGCTTGCGATTTGTTGATCCCCTTGAATGCTCTGGAAGGGGCAGCCTGAGGACTTGCCCTGGCTCCTTAGGCCTTTCAGTTTTAGCAGCAGGTCTTAGAGGCCCCTCTAAATAAAGCTCCTGTTACTGAACTATCAGTTCCTAACCCAGAAACGTTGCTCTCACTCCTGCTGTGCAAAGCAGCAAACCCTTTTTCCGAGTGCGGGTCCTTACCCAGACCAAACTGCCCCATCCCAATAGAAGAGGGAAATAGCAAGCCTTACAGGAACCCCAGGGTGTACAAAAAATTATTACGGGAGGGTGGAATCTTGTAAGGGAAAACCCAGCAGCAACTCAACATGGATTGACTTGAGCAAAGGAAGGGGGGGGGGGGGGGAATGGAGCACTGCAGAAGCTGCTGGTGGCTGGAACCCTGAAGAGGAGCACTCTGAATAGCGCATTTCACAGCAGGCTTCCTTTGTATAGTCTTACCTTGTAAGTCAAACACCTTGAGAGTCAAACATTTTGGCTTCCGAACACAGCAAACCTGGGAGTGTTCCGGCTTGCGAACGTTCTTTGGAACCCGAACGTCCGACATGGCTTCCAATTGGCTGCAGGAAGCTCCCTGCAGCCAATCGGAAGCCGTGCCTTAGTTTCCAAACGTTTTGGAAGTTGAATAGACTTCCAGAACAGGCTCCATTCGACTTCCGAGGTACAACTGTGAATTTATAAAAGGGGGAAAAACCTTTAGGAATGAGGCAGAGGCTAACACCACATGAGCTGATAGCCATAGGGGTGTCCCCAAGGGGGGAGGCCATAGCTGTCAATGTTTCCCTCTCTTAAAGGGAAATTCCCTTATTCCAAATAGGATTCCTTGCAAGAAAAGGGAAAAGTTGACAGCTATGGGGGAGGCATGTGCCTGGGAGGGGGCAGGAAGGTAGAGATGAGAAGCCCCATTGTATCCACATCTGAATCTGTGTATGTTCATGCTTTTGTGTGCAGCTCCCAAGCCCTTGTACACAGCCTACATGCATAAAGCTTGTCCATATGTAAAGATTACCCAGGTGGTCAGTTTAACCTCTGCAGCTTGGGGCTGGACTGACCACTGCCATCCTTCCCCATCTGTATTCAATCTCCACCTTCAACATACTATTACCTCCTATGAACTGGGCCGGGTTCTGAGATCCTTGGGGGAGGGACATGGGACAGGGCCTTCTTGGTGGCTGCTCCCAGACTTTGGAACTTTGTGTCTTTACAGCACAGTTGAATTCCAGAATTTCATTTTTCATTTAATATGCCTCCCTCCCTTGCCTTTCCTTTTGCGGCTGCTGTAAGAGGGCAATTGTTCTCTTGGTAGAGTAGTAGAAAAACAGCCTGTTCTCTAATTTTTTGAAGCAACTCTTCTAGCAGTGTGAAATGACAGGTTGTGCAGCACCTTGCAGTTTAACACCTGTGCTTTTAGTTGCTCATGCATTTAAAAAGTTGCAGCTGCCCCTCTTCTCACCAGCCAACAAAAATTTAATATGACATTCCCAAAAGGCAAAAAAGTGGGGGGCACAGTAATTACCAAGAACAGGTACAGAAAATAGTACTTTTGACAAGTGAATCTCTGAGCACAGGTCAAATGCAAGTATGTAGCCACGATACTGAAAAAATGTATTGCTATCAAAGGAACTGCACAATTTGCAAAAGCAGTTAAAATAATGCACAAATACATTTTATTTCTGAGCTCTGCAGATCTTCAGAATTTTTTTTTCTATGAGGAAATATAAGACTATCGACACTGCTTCTCAACAGGAAATGGAGTTGGCATCTTTCAGGCATGTCCTACTTCTAAAAAAAGAAAGAAGAGTTTTTCAAGCTTCTGGTTCCAGAGAATTCATTTTCTTCCTGGTCAAGTTGCCAACTCTAAGCTCCCTTGTGACACAATCAAATATAGTGTTTTAGATTGCTGTTTGCTCTTCACCACTTTCTTCCTGACAGGAAACATTTAGGTGGCAAAAGTAAACAATGCAACCCTTCCACAATTAGTTCTATAATAAATAAATAGATAGAAAAACTGTAAATTGGAGGTGGGCCCCCCCAATCCAGATCAGGACCTTGCTAGTGAGGCAGGAGGCAAGTTATCTATTTCAGGCCCAACACCTCGTTTTCTGCCTGTTGGATTTCAATCTGACTCCATGCATATCAAAGATACCTGAAATAATCATGTAGAAATAAGGAGTCATTATTTGGTTCCGTAGATCTAATTGTCATTGAGTGACAAAAGAATGCTGAAACTAGTCTATAATGTATCCTATTTTAACCTGAATTATACTGTTGTTGTAATTTTAAAATTGATTTTCTTGCTTCTTTTTTTTTTGTAAACTGCTTAGATGGTTTGCCCTTTTTAAAATGTTTGATATTTTACTGTTTTATATATGCTGTAAGCCACCCAAAGTGGCTGGGGAAACCTAGCCAGATGGGTGGGATATAAATAGTAAAATCATCTTCTTCACAATCAGTATGTATAAATTTTAGGAAATACCACTGCTTTTTTTTAAAAAAAAAGTCACAGGATATCCTGATTGCCAATATCCCATTTCACATCTGGATACATCCTCAGCTTCTCATTCTTGGCCTTTGTACATAAAATCAATCAACCCTGCTCTGGGCTACTTTGGGAGGGGGAGATATAAATTGAACAAACCCCTGATTTAAATCAGAATGGAGAAACCTCTGCGGGATCAGACTCACCCTGTAGTAGAAAAGGCAAACTATTTTGCATGCAAATGTATGTATTCAAATGTATGTATAGTGGCAGCTGCTTCTTGTAGAAAAGGGAGCTTTCAGCTAAGCAGCAACAGGGGAAGACTGCTGCCACAAAGCAGTCCCCTCTCCCCAGTCAGGCATTGTGGAACGATACTATGGTTGATGATATAAATAACCAGACTGAACAGGGATAGACTTGCCCCGCCCCACTAGTCCCCGGTGTAGATTATCTCTGAGGGTTGGAAGATGTCTCGGTCCTAGATTTGGGCTAGAAACCAGATTGGAATAGAATTAATCCAGATCGTTCAAAACCCTCTGGAGCTGAGATGTTGCCACAGGCTTCAGCACCTTTATATTGCTTGAGCAATATAAAATAAATTCTTCAAAACAAGGTACCTAATGATTTCTGGAAGATGTTTATTGTAAAAAAAAAACCCCAAAAACATTTCTGGCAAAATGCTCGAAGGCTGCATCTTAACGCTGATAGTGGCAGGCCAGGATTTTAAGTGGTTTGGCTGAGAATCATCATCTCCAAGAGGATTAAGAGTAAGTCCCCGCTACTTTGATGGGGCTTCACAACCCTGCTTGCCAAATTGCCCCTGGAAGGAGGGGGGAACAGGGGACAAAAAGGAAAGTTTGGGCATGAAGGTAAAGGACACCTTCCTTCAACGCTCCCCAGTATTTCATCTGATTCTAAGCACTATTACAGCCTGCCTTTTCTCTGAAAAGCAGCATTTGCTAAGGCTGCTTCTTCAGGACTTGTGTGGTAGCGGCAGTCCTTCTCAGGTTCTCTCACTGGCTCACTCTGAAAGACAAAGAAAGGAAGCACAATACTTTTGGTCTTCAAACATCTACTCACCTCTGGAACAGATCGCCTCCTGGGGGGGGGACGACCACACAAGCAATTACACCCACCTTGCATTGCCCCGTCCCTTCATAGCAGAACTCAGTCAGGCTCTTTACCTTTCTGCCACCCTACTAATGATCTGAGGACTTTCTTCCAGGCTGCTTTGAGGTGGGGCACCATCAGTGCTTGTAGTAGCAGCATCAGTTTCTGAGTCAGCGGAGATGAGTTCTCAAGTGCCACTGTCCAATGCAGAGGGATACCAAAGCTACAAAGAGACATCCAGCAGGATTCTGTTCCTCTGAAGAGTAAGGAGCCTTCCATATCTCCCCTTCCCTGAGCTGCAATTCCAATTGCCACTGCACTGTGTGCCCCACTTCAATTAAATGTGTGCACCACATACTGACTTTCAACAGGAAAACCTAAGCTGGTCTGCAACAGTGCATGTGCCTTTTTAAAAGAAAAGAAAGGAAAATAATTTATTTATTGACGCTTTACAGCTTTTGGAAGCCTTCTAAGCATGAAGATATTAAAAATTCACAACCTAGTCTCAGGACAAATGCACCTTAGCATCTAACCAGCATGTTTTTAAAAACCGGATATTGAATCAGCTGGTGGGATCAGAGAGGGAATGTAAGCCTTTTTCTCCTTCGTTTCTACTCATCCTGAGGAAAATCCCTTCTCCGAAGATGTTATTTGCATTTGGGGTGGGGTGGGAGAAGGCTTTCCTCAGCACCAACAGATGGGACTTCCTCTTCAGAAGAGGATTTTTTTTCGTTCCTCTCCATGCCTGCCCTGATCACATTGCTATCATATATTTATATACTGCTTTTCATCCTAGGGAAGCCTTGAAGTGGTGAACCCTTTAAACACAAAACATACGCTAAAGTACAAGGAAACACCATAAATCAACCAGCAAGCAAAACAGTGCTAGGCCACAAAGTAACTTCTTGAGGGCCAAAAGCAAGCTCCCACAGTAGAGAATTAAAGGGTGCTCTCAGCAACACTACACCCCACACACTTGTGAGGGCTCGAAAAACACCAACAAGAAATTCAAAACTAAGCAAGAACTGAGGGTGTTCTCACGAAAACTTGCTATTTCAGTTCTCCCAGCTGATACCATCAATTTCCACTTCCTGAAACAGCAGTGTTTAAGGTCCTGTGGTCAGTGGGTTGAATTTTAAATGGAGTGATGGCCACTTACGACAATAGAGGAAACAAATCTTGTTACAGCCTACTCTCAGCCAGAGGCCCAAAGCTCTAGAACAGGATGGGGATGAGCTAACTATGCCCCATTCATTTTCTGGAGTCACCCAGGTGTATGTGGATCAGGTTCTGCATCTTTCTACAGCTAAGAAATGTGTTCAGCTCTTGGGCTCGGGAAGAAAATGAGCTTCCCACCCTGGCTTTTGGTGAGAGGAATGGGAGAGTAGTGTCATCAAGCAGTAGCAGTGCCCCTGCTTCCAGCTTAGAGCCAAAATGAAGCAGGTTCTAAAAGGTTTGGCAGAAGTTGCACTATTTTGGCTGCAGAGTGAAAAGCAGTAGGGAGAGGAAACTTTACACACAAGGAGCAGAGATGGGTAAACTATGTCCTGCTCTTAAGTAGGCTGAACCCACAAGAAGCCAGCACCCAAGACTGGAGGGGCCACCAAAATAATCTCAACCCACAAAAACTGCATGAGTCACAAGACTTTCTAGGCTTTCTCAATGAACACTTACGGAGCACTTCATGCAGCAATTTACAGAGAATGCTCTCTCTCTCATTGGATGTCAGGTAGCTGTTGATGTGGGGACATAGGAAAAACGCTGGTTTTTATGAAAGCTACACCAGCTGGAGTAAAGGTTTAATAAAAACTAAGTTTCGATGGGAGAAGCACTTTTCAGATGGTGCATCCATGCCACAGCAGATGCCACTGTTGATGTGTCTGTGTGCAAGTGTACTTGCATTACTTAATTAGTACTCATTCCACCCCCCACAGCCTAACTTCATTTTATTGGAAGGTTTGCCCCTCATATTTTAGAATGACCACATTAATATACGCACAAGACAGGAGCTCCAGAGAGGTACCCAAAGGGAAAGTCTTTTCTCAACTCCAGCCTTGAGGTAAACTCACTTCCGGATCCAGGGGTGCCCCTTCCACCTGCCAAATAAAGCCATGTTACAATTCTGGCTCAATACTCAATACCATGACTATCTTGTCAATGGAGCCTTGCCTGCTGAATTCCGATGTCTTGCTTAATCCACATTAAATATTTTACAGGTATTCCATCTTCCTTCTTGAAGACAGGGTATTTTGATCCTCTACTCACAAAATGGGATTGGAGCAAAGGGTTATCACCATGGTTTTAAAAGCAACCACAAGAAACCACTGCCTAACTAAGCCAATGGGCCACTGAAACAACCTGGCTACACAATGACTGCACAAGTTTGATAATCTTTAAGCATTCTCAATCAACAATCCTACACTTGATGCAGCAATTTATAGTATGTTCTCGACTCTTGTACCATTAGCTCCTCTCACTATGACTGATATGAGATGTATTTAAATCTGACTTGGTTTCAACAGATGCAGGTAAAGTGGCAGACACCCATCAGCTTTCCACTATCACCAAACAAGTCCAGAGTGATTTCTTAAGATTTTAAAGTCACGACAATGTGGGCTTACCATTCCCATCAAAATACCTACAAGGTGTCTCTCTCTCTCACTCTCTCTCTCTCTCTCACACACACACACACACACACACACACGCCAGCCCAGGCTTTCTTTTCTTTTTATGGGAATGGTTTTACTGTAATTTCAGATTCAAAAATTCTCACTTTGAAACACAACCACCCACTCCACTCAAGACTTTTGGCTTCATAGTTTTCTCCCTGCCCCACTTAAACAAAGCAAAGGAAGAAACCAGTTTATTGTGGTCAGAAAGCTCAGCCTCCCACTCATAAGATGCCAAAGTAGCATTGGTGGAGCTTGCCTACTAAAACAACCAGTTCGTATTTTGAAACAACTGGTAATTTTATTTTTCCACTTTGTCATTTAATTACTCTCTTGATTTTTAATGTCTTAATTGTGTATTTTTATTGTTAGATGTTAAACTGTACTGAAAATCATACTGGAATATGTGTTTATGAAGGGTGTATATAAATGGCTTAAAAAGCCAACAGTGGAAACTCTTGTATCTGTCTCAAAACTGTACCCAACTAAGGAACCTGGCTTTTGGTAGCGCCAGTAAATTATAAAGAAATAAAGAACAGAAAAAGCAGTGAAGCAGGAGGCACTACCTCAGGCACCACCAAGATCATTAAGTGCTCAGCCATCAGCAGCAGCAACAACAGCAGTAGCAGCAGCAGCAAACTCTTCCAGCAGGAAAGGACAGGACACCAGAAGCCACAGCAAGAATCCCTTCCAATGAAGTATTGACTCTGTTCTGAAGCCCATGTATTTGTTGCCCCTGCCCTTTTCAGGGTCTCATAATAGTTCCCTGAGATTTATCACAAAACAAGCCTTAACGTAAATGTGACAAAATGCAGGTTGGCTATGAAATACCGCCTACGCAGAGGTCTGTGTACCCTTGCACACAGTCTATGCAAAACACAGCTGCATTCTACATCTAGGACATACAATGCAAATACACCAAATTTGCATATGCTCTTATTTCAATTGTGCAATGAATGTTTACACTGCATGACTAGTCTAGTTTTGCTAGCCACAAGGAAAGGCAAGAAGGCGTGCAAAGCACTTCACGTCTTTGGGCCCACGATGAGATAGCAGCTTCTGAGATTTTAGTAGGTAAACTTTCCTCTCCCCAAATATATTCAGGCTTATTGTCAATACTAAAACATGTTTTCCCCTATAAAAAATCAAAGTCTGGTATTTTCTGTAAGTCAAGGTGTACACCGTACACAATTTGGGAGGTAAGGTGGTGGTGGTATTAACTCCCATGGAATCATGGCATAGAGCCCCATCTACACGTTAGCTCAGTGGTTTTCACACACTGCTTTGGGACCCTTTTCTTAGGTACCTGAGTGGAGACATTGGCAACAGCAGATAACCTGCCCTATTAAGACAGATTGCCCACTGTTACGGATATTCCTCTGTGATGTATATAGTCAAACAAGGAGTGGTATCGAACAAAGTTTACTCAGAGTAAACCTACTGAAATTAATGGGCAAACTTTGTTATTAATGGGTATACTTTTTGGTAAAAGTCAAGCTGAATACCACTCAAGGGATGATAGCCTGTACTCATGGATGCATCCAGTTCAGGCTCCACAGGCCAGGCTGGTATCTTACACGCTCATCCCAGAATACCTCAACAGCACAGAGGTTCTGTGGCACAGAAGCCAATATAGAAAGAATCCCAAAAACAAGGCACAAAGTTTCAAACTGACAATATACAAAGCACCCAAATACAAATGCTTGTGGGATTTAGCCCACTGAACTAAGTACTGAAATTCCTCGGCATCTCCTCTCCAAGGTATCCGTTTTACAAATACACAGCAGTTTAAAATATGCGCCATGTATTATGGCTTTAGATTGGGCATAGTTGAAGTGTTAAAACGTCAAGAACAAATTTCATTTTCAGAAGGGCATTTAATAGGCTTCGTGAAGCCAAAGAACTGAATACAGGAATTCCTTAACCACTTTTAGTACAATATCGAGTTACATGTGTGTCTTCCAGTTTAAAAAAAAATATAAACAAACGGTTTTTCAAGAACAACTTGCAAGTTCTGCAAGCTTCAGTTCTAGGTACATCATACAGTATAAATTCTGATTTCTGAAGATCAAACACACGTCTCCCTTTATAATCAAGGGGGTTTTGCCTTCCACCATACCCCTTGCTTGCTACACCATAGGACTTTTACAAAACTACAAGGTATTAATGCATTTATAAAAACAAGGAGGATCCTCACACCTTGCTCAGACTCTGGGGAATTATAGGTGAAGAATAGGTCAGAACCCCCATCTTGGTGTGTTAAAAGAAATCCAGGGGGTAGAGGTGGGGGAAAGCAATAAAAGTATGTATTCAAAAATGCTTAAACACACCTGTAAAAAAAAGGCAAATTAAAATGTTTTCCTTCAGAAAGCTCTAACAGGCCATCCTGTAGCAGAAGCTGTTGGGCTGCTTGTGGTAAGACTACAAAAAGGGAAGATACAGGTAGAGAACTAAACAAGATTCAGCGAAGCTCCAAAAATCTTTATAAATACGGCCATTGGAAGGACGATCTTGATTCAGGAAGGATTTATGCTCGGTGCAAGCTGAGGACAAGAAGCAGGTACAAATCATAAAGTACACTGAAGAACATTGGTGCATGATGCTAACCTAGTCTCCCTCCTCCCAGCCCAGGGCAACTGTTTGCAGCCTTGGAGATGATGCAGGGTGGAAATTATCTGCCAGTAAATGAATATTTGCATACACCTTTTTTGCTTTTAAAAGACCCTATTAGGAATGTGGAGGTTTAATTCCCATAAACTTACGGTTCGGAGAAAGTTTCCGTGTATAAAAGGCTGTAGTCATGGTTTTTATAGACTGGTTCAACAGTGTCCCTTAAAAAAAAAAAGTGTGTGGATGGGTTTAACTGTCCCATTTTTATTTTTTGCTTCACTCCAGCAACAGGCCAATTCTCCATACGCAATTATGCTAGACTTGCTGATGAGGAAAGGAGTTCTGCTGACAAAGTTAGTCTGTGACGTGAGAGAACTAAGTCCTATGCTTTAGTAGCTATCCTGTTATCAGAAGCAGATGGTGCTTAGACATACACTTACCTAGTTATCATAGTTATCTCTGTAGGAGCTCCCAGAGTAACGGTCTCCATAGCCTCCTTGGTTCCTTGAGGGAAAAAGCACAGAAGACTGATATGTCACTGCTGAGTTGCTGTTAAATGTTATACATTGAGAGAGATTCAATGTAGTATGAGCAGGCATCCATCCACTCATGCAGTGGGGATTCTTCTTTGCTTCCTCCCGCCCATGGAAAAATAAATCTGATCTGGGGACCTGGAAGACCACCCAGAACTTATTTTGGGGCTGATGTCCCATTGTACAGGTGGGCATATTAAAATATCACTATAATGCCAAAATCACAAAAAGAACCTTTACGTGCAATACAGAATTGCTCATTTATAAACCTCATTCTTATTTAAGTGCTGTATATAAATTGGTCATTAAGAGAAGGACCGATTTAGTAATAAGGTTATAAAAAACTAGGATCCATTTCTAGCTATACTAGTTTTTCAGTATGTCTTTCCAATAAGGACCTATATGAATGCAAAATGGCAACTACTTCTTTGCTTCTTGCAGTTTTTGTAAAGCACCATGTACACAGATGGCATAGGTGATGGGCATAGATCTGCATCACAAAATGACCAGAATCACAACACAAACCCAGGACGTGGTGGGAGCTATGGCCCTCTGAATGTTGATGTACTACAACTCCCATCTTCCTTGAAAATTGGCTGCGCTGGCTGAGGCTGATGGGACTCCAGCAGCATAAAAAAGGTACCACTTTGGCTAAGTTGCCTTAGGGGCAAAGAGAAACCAGTTGGAAAGCAGGATTCCACTGTTGTTCAGATCGTGATACCAGTTTCAGACATTTTAAGCTGACAATGCATTGCATCAGCTCAAATTGCCTGCAGACGGCAAATGCTCAAGCAGACGGCGCCTGAAGTAGTTCTGGGTGACCACCTTCTCAGGCCCCGTCTGCCTGCACCTTTGAGTAAGTCCCCTGGCCTGCGCGAGCTGCAGCAGTATGTGGGCTCGCTCAGCTGAGGGGCTGGAGGATTCGCATCCCCCAGCTGAGCAGTTTAAGGAAATTGTGGTGCCCCTCTGGCTCACATGAGCCAGAGATGTATAGGGGCCTGGACTGGGCGATGTATCTCAGCAATGTTGAAAACCAGGCATCATCCCAGACTAGATTCCAGCCACCACGGCCCACCAAAATGAAACATAAGCCAATCACAATACATGAAGGAACAAGGGCATACAGCAGCACTGTAATTTGATATTCATTTAACGTTAACAATTCCAATTACAGTAAGTCCAGTCTTACTGGCAGACTCATACCCACCAACTGTGTTGTTATTTAGAAGAGAAACACAGGCATGGCAGGACTAGTCTTCCTTTCTACATGATAGGCCGTTGTTAGTAAAACAGCAATACCTGCAGCTTCCATGCCATAGCAGCACACAACTGGCTAAGCCTATTTCCTAGTGCTAAAATAATCAGGAGCACTTCAACTCTTTTGCTACCTCTAAGTTTAATGGTTCAGAAGGAACTCTCAAACTGTTATTCTAATACAGAACACAAAGGATCATGATCTCAACATCATATTTGTAGGTACCACAATCTGCTGCAACCAAGTATCTCTTAGGTGTGTGTGCTGGTCTTACCTGCTGCCATAATAGTCTCTAGATCCACCATAGCCACCGCTTCTGTTATCATAACGGCCACCTCCATATCCTCCACCTCCTGCAGCAAAGACACGAATGTTTACCAAGCCTATTTGCTCCCACACCACTAAGCAGTTAGCACGGAAGGGCACATGCCACAGGAAAGCTCACCTCTGGAGAATCCACGTCCACGCCCTCTGCCTCCAGAAGAGCCACGGGAGGATTTTCCAGCCTGGTCCACTCTGATCTGACGCCCATCCACAGACTTGGGGAGAAGCAAGAGAACAAATCAGAGCCAGCGCTTTTAACAAGATGATGCTAATCTTCCAACCTGCTACCAAGGACGCAGGAGTCCAATATAATCAAAGCTTGGATTAAAAATATTTTTTAAAGCTGAATTCAGGAACACCAGTTTTGTGTATCTCACTGGTGCACCCCAACCAAACAGGACTGAACTTTCCACACAACTGACATCACTTATGACATCAGTTGAGAGTAACTTGGGAGTGAAATGGCCTCATGAGCCAAATGTGGATTCTGGGTTGACAAGCCAGAGGTTCCCCACCCCAGTTTAGAAGAGCATCATAAAGTCGCTTTAAAAAAGGTGAATTAAGCAACCCTGGAGCTGTAATTCAGGACTAAAAATTATTACTGCTCACTGTGCAGCACACCCACCAAGATAATAGTAGGTAGTTACAACATTTTGCAATACAAGCATAAGATCACATCTAATAGCCCTCCGTATTCTAGGAAGTTACAAAGAAAGTGGATGCAATAGAAAATGAATAAGAAATGGTGAACAATCTCTGCGGGCGACACTTACCTCTCCATTCATGGCCCTCATGGCATCCTTGGCATCTTCAGGACGGCAATAGGTAATAAAACCAAAACCCCTGGACCGCTGAGTCTCCCTGTCTTTCACCACAACCACTGGAGAGAGAAAAAATTGTAACAGATTATTTTCCTGGCTCTTTTTCTACGTGTAGATGACAGCCAGTGTCCCTTGCCAGGTCCCTTCTTTAGCCCCACTTCAGACTCAAAGACTGCTTAGAAGGACATTATAACCACACAGGGACATCCGGGAAATAAGTTCCAAGAACTGGATGCTGAAGAATAAGAAAAACCCTGCTGTCTAGCTTACTGGGGAAACAAGATGCTGTTATTCATGAGCTCAGTTAATTTATTAACCAATCTCTCAATCACAAGAGCTTGCTTCCAGGAAACCTCAGACCTATACATCAAGGGTCTGTAGTATCAAAGCACAATCCCTCCCAACTAGACATATTGATACCTTTGTATTTTTGAATACAATTAATCACTTTGAAAACAAAGAAGATGCAGCCATATATCATTGGCATTCTTCATATCCAACTTATACATGCCCCTCATCCCATTTTGACAGCTATAAATAATAAGGACAACTTTGGATCAAGGTTTTATAAAATTCAGGCTATATTGAAACATTTTGCTAAAACAGGCTTCCTCAACCTCGGTCCTCCAGATGTTTTCAGCCTACAACTGCCATGATCCCTAGCTAGCAGAACCAGTAGTCTGGGATGATGGGAATTGTAGTCTCAAAACATCTGGAGGGCCAAGGTTGAGGAAGCATGTGCTAAAACATATAGTAAATGATGCTTTTATAACCTGCGGGGTAGGGGAAGGAAACAGGCTGACTTCATGGTTTTCTCACACATGTGCAAGAGTGTGCATAGAGTTGAGAAGAAGGGGTGAGGAAACTGAACAGGGCTGGGAAACCATTGTGAATATTTACAGAACTGTTTTAGAGAGGAATGGGGGAAAGGTTGGATGTGTTTGGTAATGACTAAAGCAAGCTATGGGACTGAATGGCAAGCTTGCAATTTCAGTTTAATTAGATTAATGTTAAAACAGATCAAATGAGCAAGCCATAGTATTGGTTAATTACAACACAATTTGGAGAAAGCAAGATGCACATCATTATTAGCACTATATATTACCAGGAGTATCACTTCAGACTGCAGATATGTATCAAATGCTCTCTCATGTTAACAAAACCCCATTTATTCAATATGAACATGGTTGGACAGTCTTCATCACACACTCATTTTGTACATTCAGAAAAAAGGATTTTACATGAATGAGCAGGCAAACCGCAGCTGTGATCTGAAGCGATACAGCACAGGAATTGCTAAATCAGGGGTAGGCAACCTAAGGTCCGTGGGCCGGATGTGGCCCAATCGCCTTCTCAATCCGGCCCACGGATGGTCCATGAATCAGAGTCTTTTTACATGAGTAGAATGTGTCCTTTTATTTAAAATGCATCTCTGGGTTATTTGTGGGGCATAGGAATTCGTTCATCCCACCCCCCACCCCCAAAATACAGTCTGGTCCACCACATGGTCTGAGGGACGGTGGACCAGCCCACGGCTGAAGGTTGCTGACCCCTGTGCTAAATCATTCAAGGTTGCTGACATTAACACAGGGGTGAGGAACCTATGATCTGCAGGCCAAATGTGGGCATTGAAGGCTCTCTATCAGGCCCCAGGGACTTTTCCAGGCCACACCCCTCATCAGCCCCACTCAACAAACTCTAAGCAGCTTTGTTTTCTGGAATGCATCCTTGAATTACAATGGTGGCTCTTGCTTGCCTCAAAAAAGAATGGCGATTTTCTGCCTCAGCCAAAGAGTTATCATGCCTTGAATGAAAGATGTGACGAGTCTTTAACTTATCATAGTATAGTTGCTAGCGTTGTGTGAGTGCACGCACTTGCAAACCCCAAAGCCCTACCAATCAGTTTCCTGGTGTGGAAACATTAACAGATTCAGAACTTCTGTAATTACAGAATATAATCAGGTGTGACACCCTTCCTCACCTTCTGCAATGTCTCCGTAGGGGGAGAACAACTGCTCCAGATTCTGCTCATTGGTGTCAAAACTGAGCCCTCCAATGAAGAGTTTTCCTTCATCCGATGCCATTGTTTAAGTGATCTGTAGGGAAGAAATGTGTTTAGATTTGGCAAACATAGGTGGGAATAAGGACAAAAGATAACAGGCTACACTAGCAATTTACAAGTAGCTGCTCACTGACAACTAACAGCCCGTTTTCATTTTCCAGGAAAAGATTATCATTATTCTTCACCTGTCAGCAAAACATCCAAGGCTTGCTGCTCTTTTGTAACCCAGTTTCTTTCCTTCTGCTGGACGGGGGCAAATTAATATTCATTAAACCAATGAATAATCTGGTACAAAGCCAGGGTTCTTGTTAATCTGCTGTATGGTCATCACTGATGTATAGGTTGCCCATATTGACCATATTCACATCTTCCTTTTGTAGCTTGTCTTCATTCGTTGTTTGACTTCCAGTAGCAGTCTCACTTCCAGGCCAGGAGCCTCTTAACTTTGTTTTACTATCTGTTTCCCACTGAACTGAGACCCATAATTATCTATTCCAACTGAGCATTGTAAACTTAACATGTTTACTTTCCCCTGCATGCCCTGAGGCAGAGACATTGAGAACCTGAAAAATTATTCTGTTTTTATTTGCAGCTATTTATCTGGAAGCAACAAACTGAAACATCAATGTTGCTTATTTCCAGGCGACTATGCATGTTTACTCAGAAGTATTATTTCCAGTAGGTCTTACTCCCAAACAATTGTGCACAGAACTGCAGTCTTAACTGTAATCCTGTGCAAACTTATCTGGGAATAAGCATCACTAAAAACAATGTGACTTACTCTCAAATAAGCATGCAATAAAGCAGCATATAGGTAGGATTGCTAATGTTCTTTTGATGCTTCCTATCTTAATACCAGACAAGGTGTTCTTGTGCCATTACTTTTAATGTTACAAGTTTTTATATCTTGAGCCTTCTACAGTAAAGGACAGTCTTAAGAGTGCATAAAAGAACATTTTACTGGACACAGAATGAGCCTAGCTGATACAGTTCTTCATTATTCTAGAGGCAATTAGATACAGGTGACTGGGGTTAGCTATAAGCAGGCAGGAGTTAATTAGCTACAAATGAGCTGTTAACTTGTTTTCCCAGTGATATAACTGTGTTAATCCCTAAACAAAGATGGAAGATGCTTACTTCCCCTACTCAAAGTGCCTATCTGAATTGCTCTCTCCAGAGCATCTGATAAGCTATCAGTCAGATTTTTGAGGTTTGGACATACTAAGGCGAAATGCTAATAAGCACTTCTCAATTTTCATCAATGCCTATTTCAGAAAAATGGAAGGTTAATTGAAGGAAGCATGCAGGCAATCTTTCTCAGATGTGAAAAGGAGGTGGCAGTGTTAAGCCACTTCCCTACTAGGGAGCCACCTTTCATACTATTTATGATTAAAGTGATTAGGGTGAACACACACTTTGAAATAAGTTTTTTTTTGTATTTTTAATATTTTGTTGGAAGCCACCCAGAGTGGCTGGGGAAACCCAGCCAGATGAGCGGGATATAAATAAAATATTATATTATGGCAACCTCATTGTAACTAGTATTTTATGAGGGCTAATAGTTCAGCACGTTTTCCATTTTACAGGAAAATGAGTGTTTATCTGCTTGGATTAAGTCCTTAGTCGTACAGGTGGATCTTACTTTCAAGCTAAAAATATTTTAAGATCAGGCGTTCTCGAACCATCTTATGAAGCCTGGTATTGGCTCCACCCTGTGCAGCAACTACTAGAATTTTGTGGTCAATAATTTTGGTAACATGAGGCTGACGACCTGAGGCAGATTTCATCCATCAGGTGCGTATGGCAAGATCCTGCAATCTACTCAGTGCATCAATAGCTGGAACAAGTCATCGAAGGAAGGAGGGCAAGCAGGAACTAGTGAGTGAGCGTTGCAGCGGCTCCCGACGGCTTATCAAGGCAGACGTGCAGAGAGAATGGGCTCCCATTCTTTGCCCCAACCAATCCACCCCTCCCCCCTGGTAAAATGGCCGCGAACACGTGGTCTGAGCAGAATGCGGGAAGGCGAGCTCAGCGCGTCTCACGTTCTACGGACTGGGACCCCAGCAGGCATGCGCAAAGACTACCCCGCTGCTGTCCCGCGCTCCGCGAACAGCCTTCGCGCAGGCGCAGTAAGGCAAGGGCTCCTCCTCTCCCGCCCCCGCGTTAAACCTGCTGCTATAGCGGACTTGACCACGTCTAATGCTCTCCATCCCCCTGGAACAATTTCGTCCGTTCCCGGTGGTCTTCAGCCGCGCAGCGCTCCTCACGAAGGAGACTGAGAGAGCGACGTTTCAAACACAAGAGTGTGCGCAGAGGGGCCCTCTCGTTCTTTATGGGCAGCCGCCGCCATTTTGTGGAGCGTCTCTCCCTTCAGCCTCCCCCGCCTCACACGGCGAAGAGGAGCCTTTCTTCCCCGTTACCCTCCCGGCTCCCCCTTCCAATGCTCGATGCAGCGCCCCTCCTACGGCTTTCCTGCAGCGGCCTGGGCGCTTCCCCGGCGTCAAAGCACTCACCGAAGCCGGTCTCCGAGCAGGATGCGAAGAGAGCCGTTAGCCACTGAGGCAAGAGGGTATCGCGATGGCGCCGAGAGAGAGAGAGAGAGACGCAAGCGAGGAGAATGAAAGCGAGGCTGCGGTTAGGCCACGCCCGACACGCGGCTCCCGAGCCGGGATTGGCTGGGCGCGCGGAGGGCGGGGCCAAACCACAATGGCGACCACGCCCCTCCCCCTCCTTCCCGCTCCCCCCAATTCATCTCCGAGGCCTCGTCGCCTCACGTGCGCCTGCGCGCCTGCCCCTCCCCCTCCCCTCCCCCACCTCCCCTCTTTCAAAAGATAACCGACAAAAGCCGCGGCCTACTCGAGCTCGCCTCGCTTTCTCCTCAGGAAGCGCGTCTAAGCAGGCCCGCCTCCGCCAGCAGGTCTTCATTCGGAAGGCGAGAAAAGGCTGCGGCCCAAACGATGCGGGAAGGATGCCGAACTCTGGCCCTTGGCCCATGAGCTCCGCACTGCCTGCCCTGGCTGGCAGCGGTTCTCCAGGGTTTCAGGCAGGGAGTGTCGGATGAAGGGGGCGATGCTAATGGAGCCAAGGTTTTACCCGCCGGACGTGTATGATGGCAGGTGTCTGCCTCGTGAGGCTCCACGGGCCGGAGGTTGCCTGCCTTTGCTCTACACGGACTGGCAGCTGCTCTTTCTCGAGGGTTTCGGGCCGGGTTGCTGTCCCAAGCCCACGTGCAGATGCTGCTGGGGATGGAGGCTGGAGCCTTCTAGCAAGGCAGACGCCGCGCAGCCGAGCCAGGCCCTTCCCATAATGTGAGAGCGCCAAGAAAACAAAGGAAAAATCCGTGTTCCTCTGGTTGCTAGTTGATGGTGGCCAAGGCTAAATTAAGCCATCGCCCAGATTCCTCTCAAGTTTCCTGCATTTTGACTTTACAATAAGGGGTAGTTTGCTTAAGTTACGATTTTATATTAATCTTGATCACTCAGAAGTGAAAGGTGGCCCCTACTAAGACTTTCATTGCTCACATACAAGCTCTTTTAAGGAGCAATACGTGGTTTTGTTTTTTTAAAGCGCGTAAGCTTTGCGAAAACCAGTGTAAAAAAACAAAGGCTCTTAAAAATAACACTCAAGTTTATGTACAGAAATGGAAACAGCCCAGATCCCTATTTTTTATGTACCCTTCTTTGTTATGGATACATGCTTGGAAACTAGGCACGTTACAGCACTCTTCGTGTGCAAATGGAATCCAAGACACTAAATCTTCCATGGAAGCATATTACTACACAATATGGAGAACAGAAGAAAAGGAGTGCATCTATCACAATAGGCAAGAACATGAGTGACATTTTGCTAGTTGTCCTAACTTTGCCTTGGGTGGTTTATCAGAGGATGAAGCAACATCCAGCACTCCCAGTGTTAAAGATACTAAACTGGGTGCCAAATGGCTCCTTAAACCAAGGTTGCAGTTGCCAAAATGAAATGTCCAGTTGGCATTTTTGGACGAGATGTGAGCTAGGTTAAGAGCTCTGAGAACAGACACTTTATCCAGGGACAATCCACATACATATTGGCCTTAAATGTTGTCTGCTCCTGCTTAAAATGCACAGAGAAAGCATTGTGGTTCCTAAAATTCATTCCGATTGTGCAAAAAAAATATAACAGAATTCCACAAGAATAGCCTATTAGTGTGTGAAAACAGTCCACATCCAAGGATTCCCAGACATGCACCTCCAGATGGTGAAAACATCAGGTACCATCCTTGTGTCTGGACATCTTCACTTGGTCACAAGTGGTCAAGACAGGTGCAAAACGCGCCTGGTGCCTAGCTAATTTTGCACAGAGTACTCCCAGAGTGATTTAGACTTGTTTTTTCCATTCAACAATTACCTTCCCATGTCAGATTTCATGTGTTGCAATAAGACTCTATAGAGATAAAGCAAATCTGAAGGCAGAACTTGTGCAATGCAGCAAAACAATTTACATTCTGGTGCAAGGTAAACTCAAGTTCCTAATGGAAGGCAAACATTGCTTCTACTTGCATTATGAAACCTCACACAGGACTTGCCCATTTCAGACCTTTTATTACCTTCAAAATGAACACAACCTACGCATGCCCCTCTACAAGCCCGCTACAGCACTTCCTGCAGGTTACTTGGACCAGTAATAACAGAACCTAGCTACCACCCAAAGCATAAGTACATAGAAATTATAACTCACTAGAAAAGCAGAGGCAACTATCCTGTATTATCTGAAGCAAAAAACTTGGGAACAGCTATCCCTTTCTTGTATCCATTTTGATTTGAATTTCTAGTGGACAAGAAAGTCTGGGAATAGGATGTAAATAGTTCAGGGGGTTTGAGTTCTAGCCTTAGTAGCTATATGTAGTTTTATGAGGGGAGGTGCTTATTTGCCCAAGTGTACAGTGGTGCCCCGCAAGACGAATGCCTTGCAAGACGAAAAACTCGCTAGACGAAAGGGTTTTTCAGTTTTGCGTTGCTTTGCTAGACGAATTTCCCTATGGGCTTGCTTCGCACGATGAAAACGTCTTGCGCTTTTTTTTTAAAGCCGCTTGAAGAGGCGCAGTTGCGACGGACCGTGCTTCGCAAGACGAAAAGACTCGCGGAACGAATTATTTTCATCTTGCGAGGCACCACTGTACTTTGGTTGACCATTCCCTCAACAGTCCATTTACCTGTGGATCTTAAATTAGGAGTGACTGACGTTATGTATTCTGATCACTAAATAAATTCAGAAATATAAATCATGCACATAGCTAGTTAATCCAAGTCATATGAAGGTTCCTGTCTTTTCCACTGAGGCATGTTCTGCATTTCTTATAAAACTTTTTTTTTAAAGGTATGGTAAAATACCTATCAAATATACTCATTAAGTCCACACTTGTAATCCTTTGCCTACTCTTGTCTGACGTGCAAGGAGTTGGAAGTCAATGCACCCTTTAATGTTAACCAGCTGCTTACCCTAGAAGGTTGTATATGTGTTAAGATGATGACGTGCTGAAGAATGCAAGCTGAACACTAAGTCAGTTACTGTTTCATTTTTATTAGAAGTCATGGTTTAACATATTTGGAATTCAAAGCACATGATGAATAGTTGTTTTAAGTAGTATTTAAATTTTACATCACTTGGTGTTAAGGTTTCAGACATTCTTCCAGTTATAGGTCTCATTAAAAGATTTTAGCTCAAGCGCTGCACAAGCCTACCCCAAAACACACTATATATATAGATAGCATTCACATTTTACAAATTAAATTAAACATTTCAGAAAGTGCTGTTATCACAGGATTGAGCACCCACAATTCTTTAAATTCGGTTCACTTTTGAGCACTTTCCACTTCTTAGCCAGCCAGCCTCCTCATAAGCACCTATATTCCAACAGTATTGAATGCACAGCCCGTAGTAATCTACTTGCTCCACTGCTGCCAGCTGATAGGTTCATTCCAGTAATGACATTTAACCTAATACGGAATGCAAGAAGACAAATTAGCACACAGAACTCACCGATTTAATCAGTTAATACTCTTATAGGAGTTTGTGCCAAGGCCTTTTAACATAAATCCAACCTAAACTCAAACCAATTGAGCTTACTGCTCCTGCTCCCTTCAGATACATCTAATTTAATGGGTTTTAAAAAACAAACAAACAAACAAACAAACAAACAAACCTGTCTGAATAGCTGAACAAGTCTCTGCAAGAGGCATCTTCCTCTTGTCCACTTAATACCCAGTAGCTATAGGGACCCTGCGAGAAAAGAATTGGTCAGTCATTATAGAAGGGCACCCTAGATATGAAACAGTCGTATATAAGCATTGAGGCATGAAGTTCCTGGTTTTGAAGAAATAAACTAACTGATTAAAGTTAGAAAATTTAAATGGTTACTTCTGTGGCATCCAAATCAGTACGTTTGTCACAAGTTTATCATGCACAAGGTATGGGCCGTGCTACTTTCATCAAGTGCTGCAAGAAACAAGTGACCATAGCTATTCGCTGCCATCACTTCTTGCACAAGCAGAACACTAAGCAATATAGTTGTACTGTGTGTGACTAATGAAGTACCAATTCACTAGTAACATGCTTCTGACCCTCTCCAATGGAAGTTTGATCTATTTACTTTTGCATAGCCAAAAACGATTTGTACCATAGCCACAGTTTAATGGCACAGCAACACATAGCCATGCTTAAACTACTGAATATGAAAGCAAAGGTTTTTCTCTAAGAAAAATGTGTATTTACTTTGAAGTGGGAGAAACTGTTTACTTCGTAGCTCAAGTTCAGGATCCAAAGAGTAGTCCCTGTTCCATTCCATCACTTCTTTCAAGATAGTGTGGCCAACACTTTTTCAGGCTAGAATAGCCACCATCATCTCTTCTAACCTGTCAAAAACAAGGCAGTGTCACTTAACACAAGTACATTCAAATTCTCATTGTATTCAGATTATACATGTCTAACAGGATATTCCAAGCCTAGGTGATGCTGTTCACCTAGCCCTTGGGAGATTCCCCAAGTTATTAAGTTCAGATTTTTCTCCCACTTTTAGATTCTTGTCCAAAAGCCACCATATGCACTAAGAATTGGAAAGTTTTACATGGAAATAGAAGCCTCCCACACCCAAACAATGTTGCAATCGGAAGTCTTCCCAATTAACAAGTCCAAGGTCAGCACAAGGCACAATTACAAGATATTGGACAAAACAGCAAATGCAGCTGGATGAATCAAAGTACTGTTTGGCCAACTACCTTCCCTCTAAGTTTTTGAAAGCAAATCTCAAGTCGCAACAGCCAGATAGGCCCTCCCACCCCAGATAAAAAAAGGAGCAGATTCAGTCCAAGTTCTTGTGGGGTCTGAGGAGACCCCAAACTTGCCCAGTACGTTTGTCAAAGAAATAAGAATCAGTGGTTTGCTGTAGCCACAAGAATGGAGCTCTGTGGGAGGGAAGATGCAGACATGAGCAAAAAAGTTACCTCGAAATACAGGACTATTTCCACAAATGAACTAGCCAAGAGCAGCTTTCGTCTCACATGGATCGCACTGAAGGAGGCACAACACACTTCGGGGTCTCCAAGGACACTGGCTTCCACACGCTAGCAGAGAATTCTCACAGTGTAAGAACAGGACAGAGCTAACTACAGGTAGGCCCATCTAGGCCCAATATCAGTTCAGCCTTAACCCTGAACAAAGCCTCAAGGCCCCCCAGTTTCAAAAACTTCCTTCTCCACCAGCTCATCTGACAGCTGAAATTTTCCAGTTGTAGTAGGACACATTATCCTACTTTAGCATTTGTGTAAGGAGGCAGGTCCTTCCCAAGTCTTCCTCTCTAGCAACAGCAATACTGTGTACTATTATTGTAGCAAGGAGAACCAACCCATTCTAGGTTATAACACTGAACTTAAATGTTTAAACATAGGGCACATGTTTCATCACACGTGTTTTGGCTTGGTACCCTGTATTTTGGTCCCTCTGTAGTAGTGACTCCCAAACCAAAAATAATGATTTGCCTTCACTAAAGGCTCAGCTAAATAATTCACTGTTTGAAGACTAAGAAAGAAAGCCCAAGATTTGCAGGTAACACTGTATTGAACTCCACTGGGAGCCTTGTTTGAAACACAAGACTCCACAGGTATTTCACCGCCACCAGCCACTACCCAGATTCATTTCCCCAGGATAGCACTGGCACAGCTATAAACATTCTAGGGAATCATGTGTTGGTTTATGCAATTAGGGTAATATATATCATTTAGATACAAAGTTATTCAGATACAACATGACTAACAAGATGCTACAGTTATAGCTTAAAGTCATGCTAAAATATCCTATAGCCAGTTTAAGGAGCAGACAGATGTTTCCACTTCCCCATGTTGAAGATTTCCTGTTTCCACCATTTCACACCAACCGCTTAAGTATTAGTGTGTATCAAATTTTTTACTTGGGTACCAACCCCGGGATTTACCTAGGTGAGGCCCAACATGCTTTTGCTTCCTTGTCACTAAGCTATCAAAGTTGTGCGGTGCAATGTGATGTCAAACGTCAAGAGCAGAGAATTGTTTCAGATGGGATTTTAATGGGCTTCGTAAAGCCAAAAACTCAGTACAGGAACTTCCTTATCCACTTCAAATACAATGTCAATTGAATTATGCACGTTTCTTCCAGTAAAAAAAGGACAATATAAACAAACATTTTCAAGAACCTCTCAAAGCGTTCAGTTTTGATTTCTGGATTTACTTTTTACAGTAAAATAGCTTTTTACTAAACCAGCGTGAATCATTTAATTCTTTTACTAATACCAAGGTGGTTTGCATTTGTTGCCCTCCCTTACTATGCTAAGAGTTGAACTCAAGTGCATTGCACTATTTCAAAAAAAAAAGTTTGCTCAGTTTCCAGCTGTTTAAAGTTGTAGGGCCCCATGTGTCACGTTAAAAGAAACCTTGGATTGAGAAAGCAAGACAAATAAAACCGATTTCAAAATTGCTTAAAAACCACTCTTGAAAAAACCAACTCTTGAGCAAAGTCTAAACAGGCCATCTTGTAGAGGAAGCTTTCGGGCTGCATGTGACAAAAGCTATATGGGGGAAGATACAAGTAGGTAACTAAACAAGATTCAGCGAAGCTCCAAAAATCTTTATAAATACGGCCATTGGAAGGACGATCTTGATTCAGGAAGGATTTTTACTCGGTGTGAGCTGAGGACAAGAAGCAGGTACAATCATAAAGGCACAAGCATATGGACATGTTGCAGCAATTCACCACTCCTACTTTTTTAGATTAGTGATGCTAGGAATCTCAGGCCCTCCCCCAGTTAGCACTCTGACAACTTTGCAATTTGAATTTAAGAGTTCTTTAAGGTCCAACATGCACTTAAAAGTTATTTACCAGTAATGTGAACTGAGGGCTGCAATGTTTTAGATCTGAGCAAATGGCAGATAAACAAAAAAGAAAAGAAACATCTTTGATACTGACAACTCAGTAGGGAGCTGTAGTTACTGTTGTTACTCAGTGTGAAGTCGGAACACTGATAGTTCACAAGCGTTTTGGCAAGACAGCATTTTCACTCCCTTCCCAAAATCCACTTACCTCAGTTGTCATAGTTGTCTCTGTAAGAGCCTCCTGAAGAGTAGCGATCGTTATAACCTCCCTGACTTCTGAAAACAAAGCATTTGTGTTTTATATCTGCTCACCTAAAACTGAACATTAATGATGCTCTCGCACGTCAGCACAATTACCTGCCGTAATCCCGGGAACCGCTGTAGCCTCCACTTCTGTTGTCGTATCGCCCACCATAGCTTCTGTCTCCACCACCTCCAAGGAGGGAAAAAAAAACATTTCAGTGACAGCTAAGCCACCAGCAACCCCACCCACTTCATTACCCCAATGCATGCAAATGTTTGTTTCAATCTCCTTATACTCACCTCTGGAATAACCACGGCCTCGCCCCCTGCCTCCAAAGTAGCCACCTCTAGATCCACGGGAAGACTTCCCTGCGTGATCAACTCTTATCTGGCGCCCATCTACAGACTGATAATGAACAAGTACTTTAATTATAACCATTGCTTAACTAGCTGATCAAACGAAGCAACTATTTACATGAATTTTCATATGCACATAACCAATTGTTAATAAAACATGACTTTTCACCAATTACTATTGCTCTTATTAAGATACTGTAGAGCTCAGTGGATTTATTTCTAAATTGAATTCTGAAGTTCTCCACCTGTGTAGGTTTGGGTATCTGCCACTTGCATTACAAAAGATCTACAAGCAAAAGCAGCTATTCTGGAACTTGCACTCCACACAGCAAATTGAACCACTTAAAAAATAATTTCCCAAAGATAAGTCAATATTCTGAAAAACCTCTGGTAGCCTTAAGAAATGGAATCACAGACAGCAATCCTGAGGCTGAGATTCCTGTTGGGTGCAAACCCTGTAAAGGTGGGTGGTAAATAATCTGAGAGTAGCTTGTCTCAGAGTGGCTGGGCAACCTCAGCCAGATGGCCTGGGTATAAATAATAAACATTAGTATTATTATTATTTGAAAGTAAGAAGGGTAGTGGAAATGTGAACTAGCAATGCCACTCAATGAGCTTTCAATACATCTGGAAGAATGCAGGATCCAGCTTCCCAAGAAGAGCCGGATCCCAGGCAGCATGGCCAATAGTCAAATGTTGATAGAAGCAAAAGTCCAGCAGCATCTGGAGGGCCACAGGTTCCTCGTCTTTGCCCGTTACCAATGTAGCTGTCTCTCACCAGTTTATGACATAAAAAACTGCTCACTTTGACACTAAATCGGAAGCATCATCACTGCATGTGCTTTTAGGTAACGTGCATACACTGCAACAGCTCCCTACTATTGGGTTGACACTTGCAAGCAAGAAAAGGCCATTTTCTAATATAGTTTAATTAAGAGCATTTCACAAAAACTAAAATCAAAGCAGTATGGTTCCTGGGAAACTGTTTGTCTCATTGTATTTTAACCTGTATTCTAAATTGGTTTCCCCATTACATTTTTATTGTAATTTTACTGGTGTTAGTTGCCCTGAGCCTGGCTCTGGTTGGGGAATAAAAACTTATTATTATTTAATTAAAGCAGCCAGGACACAGTAGGACAACAGATCACACCACAACAAAGTACTCACCTCTCCATTCATGGCTCTCATGGCATCTGATGCATGTTCAGGATTGGCAAAGGTGATAAAGCCAAAGCCTCTTGATCTCTGGGTCTCCTTATCCTTGATCACAACAACTAAGAACAGAAAACAAAAGTAGCTAAAATTATCCAATTTTCTGTTGATCCCAGGGGAAAACTCCACCCCCAACACCACACTTGCTTACCTTCAGAAATGGGTCCAAAAGAGCTGAAATGCTGCTCCAGGCCTTGCTCATCTGTGTCAAAATTCAGACCCCCAACAAACAGCTTTCCTTCTTCAGAAGACATAATGGTGGTAGGGAGGAGTCTGAAGAAGAGAAACGCGCACAACTGTGGATCAGAGGTCTAATACTGGAATAATTCCATTACGAAAATTTGAAGAACCACCAATGCTTATTGCAGAGCAAGTTTGCAAAATCCAACTGCAAACAACCTGTCGTAGTCCGTGAGGGAGAATTTAAAACCCCCAACCCTCCAGAAACACCAGACACCGTTAATTATCAGTCGCAATATTTTCAGTACTCTTGCTCTGTTCACTCAATTCATCAAGTGTGGCTTAATTCCTCCCCCCCCCCCAAAGTCACCCTGCATGTGGTGCCACAACACTAAGAAAACCTGTTGCAGCTTTTATAACGCATGCTGTCCCCATCTCTTCCACCCACCCTCGCCTAGCCAAGCTCCATGTGGTTGCGCATTACTTCCAATCAGAAAAGGAAAGCTTCTCAGGGCCGTGCTAATACGTCCCCGCCCTAAGCGTCACAGCAGCAGTTGCTAAATCTGACCCACTTCAAGCGCCTCCAAGCTTCGAGTTCAGGGCTGCTGCTAGGCTTTTTAAAAAAATAAATAAATAAAGAGGAGCAAGCCTTAAGCCACACCCCCGCCTCAGTTTCTATTTCAACTGCATGTTCCCGAAGGGAAACTCCTCAGCGGAAGGCGAGAGGTGGGGGTGGCGCGAGGGCGAAGGAGACGGCGCTTCCCCCTCCCCGCCTCGAGGCCGCCCTCCATTTCCCCGCCTCGAGCGCCATCTTGTTCACCCCCAGCTTAAAGAGGGGCAATCCGGACGACCAAAGATGGCGGCAGGCGACGAAGGCCGCTGCATGGCCTCGCCAGTGCGCCCCGCCCGCCCGCCGGGACCCCCTACGCCATTTCCTTGCTGTGCTTCTTCTCATGCCCGCCCCGCCCCCCCGTTCCAAAACCAAAGCGCGCACGCGCGCCACGACAGACCGCTGTTTTCTCTCTCTCGCGGCGCGAGGGGAACCGGGCTCCGCCGCCGCATGCGCACATCTTCAGCATTCGGAACGCCGCTCCGAACGCGCGTGCGCTTTGGTGCCGCGGCCCCCACTGCCACCCCCTCACGTCGTCGCTACCGAGGAACGGCCACCGTTACCTCGCTACTGACGTACTTGTTTGAACGGAAGCGTCGGAAACAACCCACCCCCGCACCGTGCATTTCACCGACAACAAAGGAAGCCCGCAAGACCGCCCCCCCCCGCCTTACCGAAGAGAAGCTTCCTGGGCTCAAGCAGCTGAAAATGCGGCCGAGGCACCGCCCGCGCTTCGCTTATATAGCGTCCCGCCCACCGCGACCAATCACGTGACGGACGCCGCGCCTTCCTAGGGTTAAGTGCGCAAACTACGCATGCGCTTACTACGCACGACCGTTACGCCTGTGGTACGAGAGAGGTCGCTCCGACATCCGGGGATCCGTTCAACTTTTTCCCTCCAAAAAGAGATGTGCTACAGCATCCGGGGCCTTTGTTCACTCGCGCGAGGCTTCCGCCTCCCCCCTCCATTCCACATAATAGAGACCTGCACTTCCGGTTCTGACTGGATTGTAGGGCGGGGGAGCGACTGCTTAATTGAGGCCGTGCTTTGCGAAATGGTCTTTCTTGTTCCCTCCATTTCTGAAGGAAGGCTTTTTTACGGGCAGGGAGGGAGAAGGGCCAGAAGGAAGACGAAGAGCGCCGACCGTTAAGGGCGGGACGTTTGACTCGCGCGTTTTGTTTGAAGCAAGGCGGGTTTTGTGGTGCCTTGAAAGACAAACTGAGGAAATAATGTGGGACCCTAAACAGGTTTCTTGCGGCCGAGGCCTCCGTGGACAATATGATTATTATCGGGAAATGTACTGTTTGACGTTTTAGGATGTTTTTGCGTCCTGGAAGCCTCCAGAGTGGCTGGGGAAACCCAGTCAGATGAGCGGGGAATAAATCATTAATAAAATAATCAATAATAATAATAATTAATAATAATAATTCCCAAGTTTGCGGGGGCTGCCTCGCAGGGCTGAGGGGAAGCGAAGGGCGAGGCGCACGTTCCGACGTTGGTGAAGCCGATTGACGCGCGTAACGCGCTGGTAGCCCGCCTGGCCCTGGTTCGGGCCTCGGTGCGCGCAGGCAACCCCTTTGCTCTCCTTTTCAACCCCTTTGCTCTCGCTCCGAGGAGGCTCTTCCCCCGCGGGCTTCTGGATACCTCCGTTCCCGAGGCCAGCAGCGCCCTTCTGCATATGTGGACGTAGGCCAGACGGTACCGTCTGTACTCAAAATGAAAAAGCCATGGATAAAGAACGCGATTCCAGAAATTGCAATACTCGGTAGCACCGAAGCAGCCGCCGTCAACAGCTTGCTCTCTATTCCGTGGACATGTTAGCTGTTCCTTATAAAGATAATTTCTTAACTGTTGCTTTCGGGAGCAAATTCCTACATATTTCTAGCTTTCCCCCACGACATTAAATTGAATGGACCACTTACAAATGGGACCCAGATAGCTCATAACTACTGAGATTCATCACCTCGTGCATCGTAACCTCAAAAAAGCATTACCAACCTTTTCATTACTAACGCACGAAACCTGATACTATGAGATTTATGACATTGCCTTTTAAAAGAGGCTGTTGCCATGGTAGTCTTGCAGGGTTCCCGCCACTGCTCCATTTTCTGTCAGTTTGCTTGGAGGACTTTGCATTAGACTGCAGTTTGCTCCCTTGTGCTCAGACTGCAGTCCAAACCTTAATGTATGTTTACCTTGAAACAAGTTCCACTGAATTCAGTGTTGCTGTTCCTTTAAAAACTTGCACAAGAAAGAAATACCACTGAACATAGGACTTGCCCCTGAGTAAATTTGCATGAGAAGACTGTTGCAACAGGCACGGCTAGCTTTCTGGAATTTGTAATAAAACAACTGCCCTGCAACATGTCACAAAATGACAATAAGGATGCTTTTGTGTGCTGTAAATGTATTCTGCTTGAGCCCACATTGTTACACATTACTAGAGGGTCTTCTCAAGCTGTAGCATGTTGTATTTATGTGACAGTAGCCTTTCTTGCAGGGACGCGGGTGGTGCTGTGGGTAAAACCTCAGCACCTAGGACTTGCTGATCCTCAGGTCGGCGGTTCGAATCCCCGCGGCGGGGTGCGCTCCCGTCGTTCGGTCCCAGCGCCTGCCAACCTAGCAGTTCGAAAGCACCCCCGGGTGCAAGTAGATAATAGGGACCGCTTACTAGCGGGAAGGTAAACGGCGTTTCCGTGTGCTGCTCTGGTGCCGGTTTGCCGGAGCAGCTTCGTCATGCTGGCCACATGACCCGGAAGTGTCTGCGGACAGCGCTGGCTCCCGGCCTATAGAGTGAGATGAGCGCACAACCCTAGAGTCTGGCAAGACTGGCCCATACGGGCAGGGGTACCTTTACCTTTACCTTACTAGCCTTTCTTGCCAACCTAGCAGTTCGAAAGCATGTCATAGTGCAAGTAGATAAATAGGTTCCGCTCCGGCGGGAAGGTAAACGGCGTTTCTGTGCGCTGCTCTGGTTCGCCAGAAGCAGCTTAGTTATGCTGGCCACATGACCCGGAAGCTGTACGCTGGCTCCCTCGGCCAATAAAGCGAGATGAGCGCCGCAACCCCGAGTCGGTCACGACTGGACCTAATGGTCAGGGGTCCCTTTACCTAGCCTTTCTTGCATCAATTTGGAAAACGTTTCCCTTTTAGAAAAAACACAGTTGCCTTATTATAGCATCTGATTATCAACAGTGGAAAATAAATCTCAATCAACTAATGTACAGTGGTGCCCCGCAAGACGAATGCCTCGCAAGACGGAAAAACCGCTAGACGAAAGGGTTTTCCGTTTTGAAGTTGCTTCGCAGGACGAATTCCCCTATGGGCTTGCTTCGCAAGACGAAAATACCTTGCGAGTCTTGAGATTTTTTTCGCTTTCCCCCCCCTTTATCTAATCTGCTAAGCCTTTAATAGCCTTTAATAGCCTTTTAGCAGCTAATCCCCTAAGCCTTTAAGCCTTTAATAGCTGCTAAACAGCTGATAGCGCTAATCCGTCAATGGGCTTGCTTCGCAAGACGAAAAAACCGCTAGACGAAGACTCTTGCGGAACGGATTAATTTCGTCTTGCGAGGCACCACTGTATATGAAGTGGCAGTTTGTACACTCATGGATCCACTTGGTTTCTAGAGAGCTCTGGGGAGTTTTCTAGTTGGTGTGGCTGGCTCATATTTTGAAGTCCTAATAAAGCTGTGGAATACAGAGATGGTCTGCGCAATTGGCAGGATTTTTACAACACTATGAACGAGACCAATAGTGAATCCGATGGTGAAGAAGGCAGTTTCTGCACGTGCTGTAGAGAGAAGTGAGGGGCTGATGGGGCTCATCAACTTGGAATGGTAGTTCTTCAGGGGGGAAAGAAAACACTGATTCTAACCCTCCACTGCCTTGCAGGCTATCTTCAGGAAAAGAAGGCTAAAGAGTAAACCCTACACAAATCTGGAGTAGAGTCCATAAGGTGGTTGGATTGTGCCTTGTATGCCTCCTTCCTGCAACTCCTGCAGCCAAGCTGGTGCCAGACATATTGCTCTGCTTTCTTCTGGACCACATCAGCGAGGCTGAGGGAGGGGTCCTGTCGTCTGGGCAGCCCAGGACCTCCATGAACACTGCCCAGGCTTGTGCCCTGGGGAGGTCACTTTGGTGCTGTAAATGCAGCAGTTTGACTTCACCCCCACAGGCACACTCCATTGTCTCTTGAGACAGACAAATACCAACAACATGGTAACCTTAAGATTGGATTATTGTAATGAGCTTTATGTGAGGATGCCTTTGAATATAGTGCAGAAGCTTCAATTAGTGCAGCCTAACTTCTCATAGGTTTGAAGCAAGCATACCACTACTGTTCCTATTACACTGGCTGCATATATATTTGCTTGCAAGCCCAATGCAAAGTGCTGTTTTTTACTTTTAAATCTCTTTACGGCTTTTTATGCCTCTCACAATATAAACCTAGACTGTTATATCTTCACTTGAGGCCCATCTTCTGGTCTCCTCTGAGGGAAACTTGAAGGGTGATGACAAAGGAGAGGGCCTTTTCAGCTTTGGCTTCCCAACAGTGGAATGCTTTCTCCAGAGGTCTGCCTGGCACTCACTGACATATTTTCAGCACCAGGTAAAAATGTACCTCCCCCCCCCCCGACTTTTGATGGTCTGTGTTATGTTTTATTAATATTGTGATGCAAAAGTTTTCTATTGCAGCTGGGAAGGATTGTTTCGAATTACTGTAAAAAACATAAAAGTTTTATAATAATAAAAAAAATAATAAAATGACTTCATCTTTTATGGAATAATGTGCTCTTGTTTATGTTTTTAAATATAAGTCTCTTGGAGGCCTTATTAGATAACAAGTGACTAATAAGTCAAAATAATAATAATAATAATAATAATAATAATAATTTCAAGTGTTCCATGTGCAGTTGTTTATATCCATATGCATTTGAGACCAGGTGAGCACATTCCAGCAGTCACTTTGTAAAAGTTACTGGTAGTCCTTATTGTTCTTGTATCATTCTCTTGAAAGATACCATCCTTGTTATGTCTTTGGGGAACGCCTTTGCAAGATTGTATTAATTCGCACACACATGCACTAGAATTCTTCACGGTTCAGCTCCTCTAGATTAATTAAAGCTCCCAATAGGTGGGTAGATGCATCTGGACATGCATCTATTTAAGGCACAGGCATGCAAATTATACAGACATAAAATCCCTTGGTGCCACTTTCCTTCCATCTTTTCCCTCCCCAAACAATGCTGATAATATAGATGTCACTGTGAATTTTTTTTTTCTGTTTGAGTTGCAACTGTTCTGCAACAAAAACCAGCAGATCCATTTTAGCATTTAGCATTTTATTAAACATTAAAGTCTTTTGTAAAAAAACAACAACTGAACACTCTTAAGTTTACTAATATATCCTGCTTCACTCTTTTAGAAGCCAGTGCTAGACTAGAGAGGCTATTTCAGAGCAAATGAATGAAATCTGGAGTAGTAGGCCAAAAAGAGCTTTCAGCATTACATAATGTGTGGTGGCGGAGGAGGGACAAAATCATTCTGAGGCAATTATTTGTGGTGTGCCACTCGAGGCACATCACACATACACAAGAGCACCCCAATTTTCATCTCTGAAATGTGGGAGGGTGTGAAGGTACCTTGAAATACATTCACCACCATCCATCTCAGATCCCTCAAGGTCTAAAATGTAAATACAGTGGTACCTCGGGTTAAGTACTTAATTCGTTCCGGAGGTCTGTTCTTAACCTGAAACTGTTCTTAACCTGAAGCACCACTTTAGCTAATGGGGCCTCCTGCTGCTGCCGCACCGCCGGAGCACGATTTCTGTTCTTATCCTGAAGCAAAGTTCTTACCCCGAGGTATTATTTCTGGGTTAGTGGAGTCTGTAACCTGAAGCGTATGTACCACTGTACATAAACACTTTGCAAGGGTGTAATCTGGGTGGATTTGATTTAAATCACGATTTAAATCATGAGTCAGTAAGACTTGATTTAAATCATTTTTTTTACAGAAAGACTCATTCTTGTTGGTATAATCTTAATATTTACAACCAGATGAACTGGTTCCATTTTTGGAATAATAAATTTTCAGAGTAGTTTTTACAGTTATATCAAAAATTACTGATTTGGTTATACTATTAGAAATACATTGACAGATAATTATGAAATTATTGTGAGGCTTTATAAGTTAACTGTTCATATTTGGACAACTTTTCTGCTGTACTTTATTGGATGGAGAAAAATGATCATTTCCTTAACAATTTAAACAATTTATTTAACTAAAACAATATTATAGCATATGTATCCATGTTTGTTAACTGATGTGGTTAAATGATTTTTTTAAAAAAAAAACCTTAGACTGAGTTTTAGCACACATGAAAAACTGAAAACAAATCCTTATTTCCTGATGGAAATAAGTCTTTGGACTATAATGTAACTTAAATAGAAAACTATCTTTAGAAAGATTTTCCCTCCAAAAGCATTTTATTTTAAAAATCTGATTTAAATTTTAAAAATCTGATTTAAATTTTAAAAATCTGATTTAAATAAAAAAACCTGATTTTTAATTTTTTGAAAAATAATAATTGCTTTTTATTCACCCTGGGTGTAATGAAAGAGAGGCTGAAGCGGAAAAATAGCAGGCCTATAAACTTAAACTGTTTTAAAAGGCATAACAGGTATATGAAAATATATAGGCATTTTGTGTGAGAGCCGAGGTGGACTATCCAAGCTTCATCCAGTAGCTGCTGTGTAAGATCTTCTGATGTGTGAGCTGAAATTTTCAGATGGGATTAATTGTGGCAGTGGTGTGTTAAAATTTTATGTATCTTTTAAAAATGTGTTTTTTTTCTGGTTTGAATGGCATCTCTGAAATTACACAAAAAAACAGACAATGGTGCAAATATTTGATGAACTTGTGAGGAATATAGTGGACCATATCTGTCCTCCAAGAGCATAAAGCCATGGTTTTCAGACTGCATTTTTGGGAACAGGGATTTGCAAAATCTCCAACACTCATCAATTTCCTATTGTCATTCATTTTGTTATTTAAGATCTCATTCATTATTGATTTGTACAAATAATTTTTGTTTGTCTCTTCATCTGTTGCAGTTACATTTGTTTAGGTATTCACATTTGTCTTCATAGTTCTGCTGTTTGTTTGTTCTTTGTGCTATATTAATACAAGTTCATATCTATCCATTTATTTCAGAACAAATTAAAATAGAACAGTTCAATTTTTCTTTCTGCTCAAATATGCATGTCTCTCTCTAATGGAAACCTCCAGTGTTCTTCAGCAGTTTATCAGGGCTTTCTCAAAGGTAGTTTGCTCACCATTACTGATCTTCCCCTGTAGTTAGGGTAGCCACATGTCCTTTGAAAAGGACAGTCCTTTAATTGAAGCTGTTTGAGGGTTGTCCAATTCAAATCCAGTTTAAAAATAAGGAGCCACAAGGAGAGCTGGAAGGGCCTTGAAGCTGCCCATCAACATTTAGTATCACCTGCTGTGTGGCGTCTTCTCCACTATGGTGAGTTGTTTTATAATTTTATTTAAATTATAGTAATTATTTCTAGATTTGTGTCTATACATATAAATTACCATATGCAACTTTTATGCAAACTGGTGCCCTCTTTTTTTGGTGCTGCAAATCCTCTTTTTTGGCAATGCGTAACGGGTCACCCTACTTTCAAATTGCAGATACTGAGAAGTTTGGGGTTCTAGGGTGCTCTCTAAGTTGTTCATGTGAAGGTTTGGCCCAACTGGCCTGGGCAGCACCTTACATGGACCAAGTCCTCTCTCTCCATTCGAGAAGACTTTGAGAAGCACAGGGGTTTTGTAGCAAAGGGGCAGGGGTTCTTCAGCAGATACGTTGACGTGGCTTAAACAGGGTGTTACACTGAGCTTGTTCTTCAGATACCATGCATATCACTGTTTGGCAGTGGGGTGTGTGTGTGTGTTGTTGTTTATCACTGGAACAGTCAAGCTCATGCAGCACAATTGCTTAATGGAAGCCACTACCAGCAGAATAAACAAGACAACGATGCACATATTTGGGTATCTTTATGATAATTTCCCCTGCCCTGTGTTCCTGCACCTTGTCAATCTGCTGCAGAGAAAGAGCTCTTAGTTCCAGTGGGTGCTGGGGTCGAGACTCAGAGAGAGCACAGGAGGTGGCGGAGCAGCTGTGGAGCGCAGAGGGCTGTACCAGTCTTCGTGAGCATGGGAGGGTTGAGGTTGGTGGGGGGCAGGACAGGAAAACTGGGCAGAAGTAGCAGGGGGAGGTGGGGGTGGCAGAGTGTAGGTGGAGGGAAAGCGAGGCAGGTGAGGATGTGACCCAAGAGTGGGGGGATATTGGTACTGTCGAGGTAGGGGTGTAGGCAGGGGACAGAGGATACCAGGGGTGCCTGGTTTGGGCAGCGCTCGTTCCTGCTTTCGCTGCTTGGCTCGCCGGTTCTGGAACCAAACCTGTCAGCACAAGGAGAGAGAAAATGCATATTATGAATTGTATTCCCTGGGCAAGGCATCTTGGCAATGATGTTTAGAATAGAATTATTCCTGAAAATCCATAACTTGTCAGTGCCAGCCTTTTAAGAAAACCAAGAATGTTCTGGGACATCGGCAGAAGGTAAACATCTGCCAGAAGCAGGAAATTATGAGATAAGCTTGTGCAGTGTGTTTGGGATGGACTAATTATACTTACAAAGCAATAGGCAGAAGGGGAATGATGCACATTTATACATAGGTATGTGTAGGTAGACAGATTGGAATTGTGGGCCTAAGCAGAGATTCTTAGCAGCTTTCTGGACTTTGCACACTCAGCTGGTTCTCTGGTTAATATTTTTTGTTATTGTTAAAATAAAAAAGTACAGTGGTACCTCGGGTTACATACGTTTCAGGTAACATATGCTTCAGGTTACAGACTCTGCTAACCCAGAAATAGTACCTCTGGTTAAGAACTTTGCTTCAGGATGAGAACAGAAATTGTGCTCCGGCAGCGCGGCAGCAGCAGGAGGCCCCATTAGCTAAAGTGGTGCTTCAGGTTAAGAACAGTTTCAGGTTAAGAACGGACCTCCGGAACAAATTAAGTACTTAATCCGTGGGTTAAACCACTGAGCCTAGGACTTGCCAATCAGAAGGTCGGCAGTTCGAATCCCCGCGACGGGGTGAGCTCCCGTTGCTCGGTCCCTGCTCCTGCCAACCTAGCAGTTCAAAAGCACGTCAAAGTGCAAGTAGATAAATAGGTACCGCTCCGGCGGGAAGGTAAACAGCGTTTCCGTGCGCTGCTCTGGTTCGCTTAGTCATGCTGGCCACATGACTTGGAAGCTGTACGCTGGCTCCCTTGGCCAATAAAGCGAGATGAGCGCCGCAACCCCAGAGTCAGTCACAACTGGACCAAATGGTCAGGGGTCCCTTTACCTTACCACTGTAGTAGGTATTGGGAGGAGGATGCCTCAGTTTCTCATATAGAATCTATGTTACAACAACATGTAACCAGTAACATTGATCTAGCCCTGCGCCTTCTGTTTCAACTTTTAAACGCCTGCTGAAAACTTTTCCATTCCTTCAGGTAATTAAGAATGCGCCTTTCCACAATTGTTACTTGGTTTCTGATTTTAACTATTTTCTATGGGTTTTGTTGTATGTATTTTTATGTACAATTGTCGTGAAGCACTCTGATTTTTTTATATGAATTAGTGGTCTATAAATATTTTTATAAAGAAATACATGTAACACAACTGTTTAAGTTTACATAAACGGAGAGCTTCAAGTCCATACACCCATTAATGCAGTTAGTAAAATACTGCCTCACTATTAGGAAAACATAGAATGAAAAGCACCAAAGGGGAAAAATAGTTCTAAATGTGACTTTAAAAAGCACACTTTCTTTGTCCCATGGTTGTAGAAAGGCACAGCACGTAAGTGCCTTGGAGACCCAGTTTCCAAAAGGCCCCTTGCAGGCTGCTTTTAACACGTCCAATATGGCAGTGTCCATATGTTCTTGGGGCCATTAAGTACTGAGCAGGTACCTGGATGCGAGCCTCATTGAGTTTGATAGCCCTGGCCAGCTCCTCTCGGCAGTAAATATCAGGGTAATGGTTTTTTGCAAATGTTGCCTCCAGGTGATCTAGCTGGTCCTGGCTGAAGGTAGTCCGGTGACGTCTCCTGATAGGGGCGGCAGCTGTGTGAAGGGAGGAAGGTGCAGCCGGAGAGACCCCTGCCGGTTCTGGTACATGGGGGAACTTCTTACAGAGGGGAACTTCCACATCTGGAAGGCAAGAAGAGGATCCACTGGCATTTCTCTGTCTTGACCTACAAGTCACCTTTATCCAAAACTTTGCCAGTGCCCCTCAGGACTGAGCACTTTTGGACTCCTACTCCTTTACCCCACCCTCACCTCCACTTTCCCCTCTGCCTACATCTCGAAGCACTCCTCTTAATGTGACATTGCTACAACAAGAACTCTGTTGCTGTGGGGTCTGTTTGGTCTTGCTTCTTTGCTCTAGATTATTCCCTCCCAAAGCTGCTTTGCCTTTTGGGAAGGCTCTTGGGAGTTCCATTTATGCATGTTTGCCAGCCCCGTGTAGTTTGGACCTTACATACTCCTGCCCAGCTGGTTAGAGTGTGGTGCTGATAACATCAAGGTCACGGGTTTAATCCCCATACGGGCCACCTGCATATTCCTGCATTGCAGGGCGTTGGACTAGATTACCCTCAGGATCCCTTCCAACTCTACAATTCTATGATTCTATGAAAGGAGCTAGAAATGGAACGACCCTTGAAAGAGATCCCTCTTCCTCCTGCATATTGTGTGGGCTCCCCACACTTCCCACCCTGTAAGAATGATTTTTTAAAATTGTTATTTTTGGCTCAGGACAGCAGAATACTGTAGCTTGAGCCAACCCTGGTATGTGATCCTGGTGGGTGCCAGCAAGCAGACCTTATATTTCTTAGACGCACTTGGATATTGCTTCAGCTAGCTGCAAAAAGCTGTGTCGCAACTGTCTCTTCTTCAAAAAGGGTCTCCTGCTTTGTAAGTTCTGTGAGCGTTTCAAATAATTTTTCAGAAGCCGCACCTGGCTGCATCAGGTGTTGTGAACCTTTACCCCTTGTACTGATAATGAAGTGCCGGAACGGTAACAATATTTTCCCGCACCCTTTCCCCAATTCCTTCCTGCAATCCCTAGGATTAACTGGGGGGAACATGATTCTCCAGCCCCCACTCCCTGGGAGAACCTGAGATCGTGAGAGTGAGGGGAGCACAATAGGCTCACCTGAAAAGCTAATTAATTTGGGACCCCAGCATAGAGGAACTTGAGCCCCCAGGGATCTGAGCCCAAACAGCTTTCTCATTAATGTCTTTGCATCCGAGTGTTTTTCGGGAGAGGCTGCCCCCAAGGGATTACAAGCCCCCCTCCAGCCTATTTCAGTCTCCTGCTACTCAGCAATCTCCTCCAGCTCCTTAGAGGCTGTCATGTGGAAAATGAGTTTGCTCTTTCCTTGGGACAAGTTTCCTGCTTTTGTGGAGACTATGGCAACTCTTCCCCTCCTAAAAGACCTCCTGGCTAAAATCACACTGAACAAGATCTGGAACTAGGACAGATGGTTCCTTGACTATGCATGGAAGGGTTGCCCCTTCCAGGAAACTGCACATGCACCATACATTTAAAGCACATGACTTTCCTCAAAACATCTTGAGAACTGTAGCTTACCTCTCACCGAACTATGGTTCCCAGCACCCTTAACAAACTACAGTTCCCAGGATTCCTTTTAAAGGAGTCATGTGCTTTGAAATGTATAGTGTGCATGCAACCACAGTTACATTGCTTTCCGCTTCCATCACAAATTTGGGATTGATTTGGGGTTGCAAAAAGGCCAGGAGGCACCATCTGCTGGTGGTTTCATGGAATTTGGTCTCGGATCAGAATTAAGTTTGTGATTAGTGTTGTGATGAGCACAGAAGATGGTTCTGAAAGCCACAGACAGTATTCAAATATGCTCTCCTGATATTCTGTCCTACCAAACCCCAACCTCAAAGTGTCTCCAGACTGTCAGTATTCTGTGGAAGGGGTTCAAGCATACACTGGGAAATTTAGGTTTACAATTAAAAGTGATTAAAGTGCTCCATTCTAGCACAACAACCACTTTAATAAAGCCAATGTAGTGTACCTGTTGGACTAGGACCCAGAATACCAGGGTTCACATCCCTACTCAGTCACAAGCTCACTGGCTGATCTTAGGCCAGTCACTGTCCCTCAGCCTAACCTACTTTGCAGGGTTGTTGAGAGGAGAAAACTGGGAGTAGGAGAACTCTGAAAAGCACATTGAGCTCCTTGGAGGAATAGGGGGCATATAAATATAATAAAGAAAGAGATGGACTTTCTGTGATTAGGAAAGAGACAGGGAGATGCACTGATAAGTGTGGAATGTACAAATGATGAATGGGAAGATATATAAAAACTTTGCAAGCAAATCAGGATGAATGCTCATTGCTGTGTAACCTGCTTACAAATAATGAATTCTCAATAGAGACTGGATATAATCTAACACATAAGCTTTGTGCTAGCAAATAAGGATAGATGCTCAATAAATAGGTCATCAGGAGAAGAGCTAGAGACACACCGCCCTGGAATATTCCCATCTCATTGTCCGTCTCTCCTCCAAAGCTCAACAATGGTGTAAGAAGAAGAAATACCACAAAAATATCATTTCCCATTTAATACAGAAACAACGTACAGAAACAAAGATCACCCCAGACCTGCTTGACCCTGGTTTTTGGTTCTAATAAAAAGCTCTAAAAAGGAAGCCTTGCAAATGTTTCCTAAAGGCTTTTGTAGACTTCTTTCCACACAGTTTTCAAGTCCTGCTCAGAGCTGGAAGCACCTCACTGATGTACTGGCTCCCAAGTCCCCCTCTGCACAACCCCTCACATGCAGCTTTTCCTCCGCCCAAATGTTCAGTAGCATCTGAACCCTCTTTGGTCTAGATGGCCTCCCTGTGCCCCTCCTCATGTCTGTAGACCAAAGCTTCCCCAAACTCACCAGCTGTGGAGCTGACAGTCTCAGGGTATACGTCAGTGAACCCTTCGCTCTTCCTTTTCCCTGTTCGTCCACCCTCCATCTCCTTTGATCCTTGCTGTGTCCCCCCCAACCAAACTTTTAAGCCAGTTCTGACGTCACCCCCTCCCTGGTTGTCTGTTTTACGTGTGGAGGGTGCGGCTTTGCCATGTCGCCTCCCACCCCTTGGCCTGGAGCACCCCCTCCCAGGATGGAGATGGCCAGGAGCAGGAGGGGGTGGGGTGGGGTAGGGAAGGGAAGGGAAGGGATGTTCACATCAAGGGAACGGGGCCAGGCAAGGCATGTGGAGTGGAAGGATACTGGAACTCTGGGTATATGTGCAGTCCGGAATGTGAATTTGTGCAGCGGAGTTACTTTAAAAGTTATTTATGCAGGTTATAGATGTGCCTAGATTCTCTGTGGAAATGCTGCTGAATGCATGCATATGTCTGCATGTGGAGAGTTGTTGCATTGCTTTGTTACAGTTCCCTGTGATGCACTTGTAAGTATGTGTGCGTTTTTGTTTATGAGAGTTTTGTAGCTCTCTTGGAGTGGCGTGCACACCTTGACTTCCCGAGGTATGCCAATTGCTCTGTGAGTGTGTTGAATTGATGCCTTCCTTGACAGCACTCCGGAGGCCCTCTGTGGGTGGCAGCCCACCCTGAACCCATCTCCTGGGATAAGGTTCCAGCAATCATGACTTTCTATTGTCAAGGCAAATCCCTTGGAACAGCAGGAGCCAGCCGGTCCACAGAGAGGCCCTTGAAAAGCTCTCTGCTTGCCACATCCCCCTTGGAATTGACTTGCAGCGTCTGCAGCCCTTCCAGCCACCCCAAAAGCATCTCCACACTCAGATCCACTGCCGTCCTCCCTGCTGTCCTAACAGGGGTGAGGTGGGGGTCATATCAGGCCACTGCTTATCATTTTGGGTTTTCCTTGCTGAAGCTTTTGTCTTTGTGACACAATTGTGGAGCTTAAAAGCAATTCCAGAGGGACAAAGGTACCAACTGGTCTGGCAGGTAAGGGGAACCTGCAGCTAGTCCAGCATTCCAGCTCACCATTGCTTGCAGGGTAGTGGTAAAGGACCCAAGTGGTGAATAGTGTGGCTGGGCACTGCTTGAGGCCATGTCCCACCCCAACACTGAGGAGCCAATCTCTCCCTTTTAAAAACAGATACGATGTAATGAAAGATAACAGCAATGGCACCGGTGGCCGCTTTGTGCCACGCAAGTGCCATGCCTGCCATTAAGTGTGGGTGGTGGCTGGACAGGAAGTCCAGCAGGTCATCAAAGAGTTCTAACCTCCACCGTCTCTAACCTAGGAATCCTGCAGGGATCCAAGAATCCTGCACCTGCTTGGTTGCTATTGCAAAGGAAGAGAGGGACATTTTGCTGCTTTTCTCTGGGAATCGCCCAATGAAACTGATGGCTGAGAGGTTCTTCAAGACTGAGAATAATGAAATAAACCTCCACACAATGTGCAGTTCACTTAAGGGCTAGAATAGATAACATGTACAGAGGATAGACTGATCATTAGATATGATAGAACAGAATCTTTCCACATTCAGAAACCCTACCGCTGAGTACAGGGGAGTAACAGCAGGGAGCGGCCATTGCACATGCACCTTAGAAAAATAGAATTAGAGCTGGAAGGGACCCTGAGGGTCATCTAGTCCAACCCCAGAAACATCTGGGTGGCCTTTTTGGAAATGTGATGGTGGGCTAGAAGATGATCTCATCCAGCAATGCGATGCTTTGTGCTCTTGTGTATTGTTTCTTTATACCGCCTGTGTGGCTCCCCGCAACCCCCCAAAGCTTCTGGGAAGTTAGTAGAAGGATGAGCCCTGAAACTGTGCATCGACTGTTGCTGTTGTGCTGATTGCCCTTCGATTGCAGTTTAATGTGATTAGGCCCTTGTGATTGCTAAGCCTTCCTCTGGGTCCCAGTGGGCAGCCTTCCTCATTATTACTAATTGGCAATCGTATGTGGAGAGGAGAGGCTGTGCCCTCAGGACATGGCACAAGGTATGGGGGTGGCAGATGGCAGGAAATAATAATCTCTAGCCCTCCCATAGCGCTATATGTCAATAAGCTTTTACAAATCATAGTTAAGTCTTGACCAAGTGTTGATTCTTTGAATCCAATGAATGAGTCTAATTGATGGGCTCCAGCCCACTTTTGCAGCTAGGAGGAGTACTGATTGCACATTTTCTTCTCCTTCACTAGTCAAACTAGTAAGGGTGCAGCTGGGGTGACATTTCAGTTTTCAGTGGGGGGAGATTTTAGTCTGGGTAGTCCTACAGAGGCATTCATTAGAGGTACAATGAACTAGAGGTACGGCAGAAGCTGCAGTAGCATTGTGGTGGCGGTTTCTGCCCCAGAAGGGTGCATGTTCGAGGGAATGCCTCCAGGGAACCTGCACAGGGATGAAGACAATTTTGCCCCATCCTCAAGTGTGTTCACTGTTTCCTAAATATGGCTACGTGTACATTGTGGTGGGAGGATTCCCAAAATGGAAATCCTAAACTCCCACTCTGGGATATGTTCACACACAAGGTGAGGCAAAGGAGAAGATGGTTATCTCTGGTGTGTGAATCTGACTTCAAGCCAACATTAGTGATGTAACAACATCCTCCACCACATCAGACGGCCACAAACCAGCACAGGGCCTGCAGCAGCTCTCTACCACTCAATTCCTTGCTGCCTAGTGGTAGGCTGGCCTTGCACATAAGAAGAACCCTGCTAGATCAGACCAAGGGACCATGTAGTCCAGCATCCTGCTCTAAGCAGTGGCCAACCAGATGCATCTGGGAAGCCTGAAAGCAGGAACTGAATGCAACGGTAATGTCTCCACCAGTGCTTCTGCCTTCAACAGCAAAGACAGAACCTAGCCATCATGAACTCAGCATGAAGAACCAGTGAGTTGGCTAGAAATGTAGGTGTTCCTAAGGAACACTCACACAGAGGTCTTCCTTGTAGCTCCCTAAAATGTCCATGTTTGCTGCCTCTGTAAGGTAGGAAAGCATCAAATTGCTATTCTCTCCACATGCTTCCTTTGAGCATGCAAAAAATGGGTCAAGAATGCAGAACGCTGCATTCTTTTTTTTTTTTTTGCATTGCCAACAACTATTTATTTCAGTTGAATTCCTCAGTTCAGACAAAAATAAGCGGGATTTCTAGCTGGAACTGCTTTGAACATAGGTAACTGTGGGCCTCATAAGTTCCAAAGATTTCCTAAACAAATGTACAGAGTTCACACTAAATATTTAGATACATTCTTCAACGCTGTGTATCTAACGTTTTTGATGAAACCACGCTGATCCCACAGACCAACACAAAGATTTCAAATCCAGCTCCATAAAACCTGTGTTAACCTAGACCTCCCATCTTGTGAATGCTCCCCTTGTTCATGGGGGAATATGCCTTTGGTTGCACATCATTCCAAAGAAGTCCGAAGAACTGCCAGTGATTTATTTGCCTATACTCTGAACCACCCAGTCCTGTTGGCAGAGGGGGCAGCGGTTGTTCTGTTTCACCCACAGTGACATGCAGCAGTTGTGGAAGGAATGATTACACTCTCCCCAGACCACAACACAATCTTCTTGTTTGTTTTCAGCTTGACATCTAAGGCAGGCATCCATGACCTGCACCCGGCAGATGGCGCAGGTGTCGTACTCGACATCCCAGCTCCACATGGCCACATCGTTCCACTTCTTCAGCGAGAACATCTTGTCGACAACACCCGACTTCGAGCCCGAGAAACCCGCATGAGGAGCGGAGACACCCGGCTCGTCCCCGTCCTCCACGTCGGCCATGGCTGGGGGTGGCAGGAGGAGGTGGCGGCGGCCAGAACACTGCATTCTTGACCCAGTTTGATGCCTTTTCCTAACCAAACTTTTTATTGTTGCTATTATCTCCTTAGGAATTTTATCTCATTTATAGTTCTACCACAGGGATGGGATTCCATTCATGCTGTGTGTGCCTTTAAGTGTTTGATGGTCCAGAAAGGACTTAGCAAGCCAGCAGCCCCTGCTACTTCAAAGTGACTTTTGAATTGTGTGGTTGGGAGTGCAGAAAGTGTGTATTCTCCTCCTTAGATTTACATGCCGACTGAAAACATGAAGGGTGAATAGGATTGTGCCTCGTGGCTGCGTTCTTGACCTCTGCACTTCCACTGGCCTGACTTAGTACATTCACCAGAAGATGAGAACAAGCTCTACATGTGTACAACTGCCCATGCATACAGCCCATTCCTCACTTCTACTGCAGGTTTGGAGGTTGGGAGTGAAGCCAGCAGATGCACAGAGGTTATGGGCAGAGCTAGTGGGTCACAATTCCCCTCCATGCCTTTGCTCTACATCAGTTTTCCACCTTTAGCCTTCCAGAAATTGCTGAACTACAACTCCCATCATCACTGGCCATTGGCCATGTTTTCTGGTGCTGGTAGGTAATTGTACTTCAGGACCTATAGACTGCAGCACCAGTCCTATAATGCAGCAAGGTGAAGCAGGTGGTGACATTTAGAAGAATGCAGATGAAAGCAGAAAATAGTCTCTGAATGATGCAGCAAGATCCCAGGGTGGAGTGGAGGCATCATTTGGTGCTCTGCTTTAGGCAGCAAAAACCATCTTAGGCCAGAATTGAGAGACTGGGCCTGACTCTTCAAGGGGAGTGGTAACAGGCTGTGACATCACAGGGCGACCTCAGAGCTGAGGTTCTAGAAGCCAGATGAACTGCCAACACTGGGTGGGGTGCATTGCCTGCTGTAACTTGCTGGGCTGTTTAAGAACTTTGTGGTGGCCCTGGAGAGGTTCAGGCAGGCATTTGGGCAAAGGTAGGCTCCTCATTCTGCTAGTTAGCACTGTATGGCTTCTGGAGCTATAGACTCGGCATCTTGAAGACGAAAAACTGAGGCCTAATTCTTGCCTACGTTAGAAGCCCCACTACGCTAATTTGAAATGGATTTGAGCTCCACCCTCATCGGGCAAACCATGCTAGGTTAGTAGGGTCAGTCACTCCCAATCTTTGTGTTGAGATACACCATGTGTATCTATATGTTGTGATAC